TACAGTTTCTGACGTTTGACAATGAACTGGGGGGGGAGGTGTAGGATGATATGCTGAGGAGGCAGGATGTGCGGATATAGAGTTAGTATTTCTTAGGGAGTGTCAAAGAAATCTCATGAAGAGAGTTAGTAGCAGGAGAATAGACAGGAAGTAATTTGGGGTAGACAAATACGTGGAAAGACAGTGGAGTACATAAAACAAATACACATATGTATTAAGAAAAATAAAGGATGTTAAGATAGTAAAAATTGGAGGAAAAAAGAAAAAAAAGGCATATACTACACAGGTAAAATATACTATTCAGATATCCCAGTCTCAAAACCCTAATTCATGCAAAGTACTTGGTTTCAAATATGTTGGGGATGTGAGGGTGGGAGAATAGAGGGGGAGAAGAAAAGGAGAAAAAAAAAGTCTTGAAGAAAGAAACCTGGATTATTAATTGTTTTGGTTGGAGATCAGTATCTTTCCTGCTTCCCTTCTCATCTGATAAGGTGGGGATGTCTGTTGTTAGCTGGTATTTCCGCCCTCATGATGGTGAAGGTAACCAGGATGGGAAGATTGGTCCTGGTGTAGGGTACCTGAAAGTGAGGTGTGACACCTGCCAGTCCTGGAGGGAGACTGCACCTCAAGGGTGTATTTTGGGTCCACTCTTATGACTTGAGCCCCTGGTTCTATCTCCTTATCTTGCCTGAAGATTTCCCAGTTCCTGGTGTCTCTGTTAGTCTCCAAACTGTTGCACCCTCTCCCTCTCCCTTAGTAGTTCTCAATTAAGGGACCTCTCTCACTGGGGTTCCCATGGGCGGTGCCCTGGTCACACTGTTTCACTGAGAGCTGTTTTGTGTTGGCAGTTACTGTGCTGGGTTATGGGCCGCTGTGGGGGAGTGGGTTTGAAAATCAGGTACCTGGCCAGCAGGAATTCCAATCTGGGAGCTGCCCCCACCAAAAATGGCCAGGAAGGTGACCCAAGATGGAGGCGGGCCACTTCCAGCGCCAGGGTGTCCAGTATGGCTGGGGGTAGCTGGGCAGTGGTGTTGTGTGATGTGTTCAGTGATGAGCTCTGTGATGTGCAGAGTTGCGGCTTTTCTCTGTCTTCAGAGCCTGTAGGATGTTCCCAGGTGCAGGCAGACTACTGCGTGTAGGGGACTATGGCAATAGCTTCTGAGTTGCAAGATGGAGGTGAAGGGGGAGCCCCATGTTGGTAGATGAAGGTCCACAGGGAAATGGCAGCAGGAGTTCCTTTGGGTGGGTAGCAGCTCAGTGTCCTGTGTGGGAGTGGAGTGGCTTCTGGGAGTTCTGCATCAGTGTTGATTCGGTGATCCCACTAAGGCACTAGGGAAGCCCTGTGTGGGCTAGTAGGGATTTGGGTGTCGGGAACCTGGAGTCCTGCTCTAATGCTGAGGCCCGGAGCTCTGCAGGGACATGGTGCTGATGATTTCTGCAAGTGAGCAGCTGTATAGGGGTCCTTTATCACTCTCAGAGAAGCAGTATTCCTACTAGTTGAGACCTGGGTCATGGAGCAACACAGAATGCTGCCTCCCTCTGGCCTACCATCTTGGATCCTCTCTAACTTCCTGCTTTTTAAGGTAAAGAAATTAGTACTCTTACTTTTTTTTTTTTACATTTTGTCTTGGAGCATTAAAGATCACAGTTTTATTACTATTATTCTAATTTGTTATACATGACAGCAGAATGCATTACAGTTCATATTATACATATACAACACAATTTTTCATATCTCTGGTTGTGCACAAATTAGAGTCACACTGTTCATGTCTTCATACATGTACTTAGGTAATGATGTCCACCTCATTCCACTGTCTTTCCTACCCCCAGACCCCTTCCTAACCCTTACTTCCCTTTGTTCTATCTGGAGTTTGTCTAACCCTCCCATGCTCCCCACCAACTCCATTATGAATCAACATTTGTATATCAGAGAAAACATTGGCATTTGTTTTTTTGTGGTTGGCGAACTTCACTTAGCATTATATTCCAGTTTTATTATTTTTATATCATCAAGGTTTATTTTATTTGCATTCAATCCAATACCATTATCACAAGTTTTTAGTCTTAGTTTATATTTAAATCAACTTATTGATCCTCACTGAAGCCACTTTTACACCATTTATCTTTTCTTGAATCCTTCCTTCCTTCCTTCCTTCCCTTCCTTCCTTCCCTTCCTCCCTCCCAGGTCCTGGTGCATGCCAAGCACATGTTCTGTCACTGAGTCACATCCTCAGCCCTTAAATCTTTCATTTTGATTCATCTTATCCTCAAATGGTTGTACTGTGCGTTTAGTTCCCAGTTGTTAAATTGGGAATTCCTCTACTGGACTGAAGCTCTATTTCCTAGGTCACATACCTTCTTTTTTGTATTATTTCCTTAATTTGATAGAATACTTTCTTGTGTTCTCTAAAGAAGGGTCTATGGGAGGTAAACAGTCTGAGTCTTGAAATTCCAGGAAACATCTTTATTGGCCATCACATTTGATGGTAGTTTTGCTGGGCAGAAGATTCTAGGTCAGAAATAAATTTTTTCTTAGAATTTGGAATGAATTGCTCTTTTATCTTCTAGTAGTATTGTTGGTGAAATCAGTTATTGTTCAGCTGTCCATTTCTTTGTAGTTTATTTTAAAAAGATTTTTTGAAAGTGTTTAAAAGTTTATCTTTCCACATCATGCCTTATTTTGGCAACTATATTGATCAATTATATTTTAAGTTTCTTTGTTGCTTTTTTTTGTAGCACTATGGTTTTGTTTTAGGGGTACAACATAATTTCCAGTTTCTCTGTTTGTGTTCATTTATATCTCTTTGTGTAGGTATGTGGGTTTAGTTCTTATCTTGTGTACTTTGGGATCCAGTTTATGTTTCCATCCCCCACATGTTGTAAACTTTTCAACAAATATCTGAAAATCCTTATATATCCTTTTATATTTAAGAAAGAAATAGTAAAATTTGGGATCTTGTTGGGAAAGGGTTTGTTTAATGGGTACAGATTTTCACTAAGGTAGATGAAAAATTTCTGGAGATAATGACTATAATGGGTGGCACAACAGTACAAATGTTTTTAATGCCACAGAACTATACACTTAAAAAATAGTTAAGATGGCAATTTATTGTGTTTTATATTTTACTACCATTTATCTATCTATCTATCTATCTATCTATCTATATAGATAGATAGATAGATAGATCTCCTAAAATGCTATACAAATAGAAATTTCATAGTTCACATTCTCTGCAAGCCAATAGAATTTATAATAAATATTTAAAAATTATTTTTAGATTTTTGAATCAAAAATTAAAAATAATCCTCTATCTTAACTTCTTAAGCCATATGTATTCCTGGATGGAATACATATGGAAGAGAAATTGAAAGGAAAAATCCTGTTTTAGAAAACAGTACAAGGAGACTGTGTCACACCCAGATTGATGGGAAACTGCAAAAATCTTACTCAGAGAAAATGTATAGCCTTACCTGCCTTCATTATTAAGTCAATAAGACAAGAAAAAACTAAAAACTCATTTTAATAAATTCAAAGAACAGCAAAGTAAACAAAAGAGTCAAAATCAATGAAACAACTAATATAAATACTATGCATATAATCAATAAAATATTGTGACAGTAATACTAAAAACTAATTTTTATATGTAAGTTTAGTTAAGTATGTAGGATTTAAATGAGTAAATTAATATTTTTTCTTCCTTAGATAAAAATTCTAATATTTTCTTTTGCCTATCAGTGGATTGTGTTGTATGCCCCTGTGAGGTACCACATACCTTGGGGACTATAGCTCAAGTCTATAAGGAAATGTATTTGTGCTTTGTTTAACCTTTATACACTTTGAGGTGTGACATATTCTAATGGTTTGGAGAATCTATCTTGTAATCTCCCAAAGGTTTATTTTGTTTGTTTAATATTTGTACCATTTTGTTTTTTATTAGGGGTTCTAATTGAAAGGCAAATAAAATATATTAAGAAAAGGTTCTAAGCAGCCAAGACCTAGTCTGTTTATCTTTGAGGTTGGAAAAGGAGTTCGGAGAGAAGCAGCCCTATGTGGTGTATAGCCACTATTCAAATTCATGTTTTCTGTTCTGTGTTTTTGTTGTCTTATTAGCATGCTCTTATTCACTTAAGACATCTTGTGTTTTAATTATGGAATAGAATCTCATTTTTGCCTTACTGCTATATGAAAAATACATTTTAACAGTGGATCCTGCTACTGCCATAAGTCTAAGAAAGATTCTGTTCTATGTAATATGTTCTGCTTTATATTTAAAATGTCAGTAGATTTTAGCAGTTCATTTAGAAAATTTAAAGAAGCAAAGTGTTATGTACTGAATGTACAAAATTTGTATGGTCAAGTTTTAACCCCCTGTGTGATGGTGTTTGAAGGTAGAGCCTTTGGGAGATAATTAAATCATGGGAATGGAGCCTTCATTGTTGAGATTAGTACCCTGTGTAAGAAGAGAAAAAAGAGAGATGATCTTTCTACCGTGTGAGGACACAGCAAGAAGGCATCTCTCTGCAGAGTAGGAAGAGGGTCCTCATGAGGAACCAAATTGGCCAGCACCTTGATCTTAGCTTCCCACTCTTTACAACTGTGAGGAATAAATTTTTATTGTCTAAATTAACCAGTCTATGGTATTTTTGTTATCATTAGCCAAACTAAGATGCAAAGTAAGTGAAGATATAATTTTCTTTAGATTTTAGGGATTTAAAGGTGATAAAACTTTATGTAAGTAAGTATGTATGTATGTATGTATGTATGCAGTGCTAGGGGTCCTACCCAGGGTCTTGTACATGCTAGGCAATTATTCTATCCCTGAGCTACGTCTTCAGCTGCAAAGAATCAGGAAGGGCTTTTAAAGTAAATTATATATATTTTTTGGAGGTGCTAGGATTCAAACCCATGGTTTCATGCCTGCTAGGCAAGTGCACTTCACTGAATTATACTACCGATTAATAAGACTTTGGTTAATCATGACATTTGTTATTTACAGTTATCAAAGCTGCAGAATGAAAGATCAAGGTTGCAAGATCAGCTACGTGACTATGAAGATCGAATTAATGCTATGACTTCTCACTTCAAAGATGTTAAGCAAGAGTTATCATTTATACAGGTATAGTAATATTGAAATTTATGTTGATTATGTCATATATAGTCATGGAACAAATATTTCACAGTGTATTTGTGTCTGTGATTTTATTTGAATTTGATATAGGAAACTTTAAAATAATTAAAATGTTGGGAAAATAACTTGAATCTGAAAGTGTATTAAAAAAAAAAGGCTTTGGGGGAATTGACTCTGCTACCAGTTTTAAACAAAAGTTGATTCATAAGAAAGGAGAAATCATCATTCAGATAAATGAATGTAATATTAAGTAGCAGATTAATATGAGAAGAATACCATGATGACAATGAGAAATTAAGGCTGTAAGCAGAAATAGGGATAATATAATACATAATAGATTTTCAGTCTCTTTTTTTTTTAGTTTTTCAGCATAGCCAACTGGGATCATTTTGAATGGAGGCCAATAGTCCACACTTTAGTGGTTGCTACCGTATCATGGTATTTCATTGTTCAAGAATTGAAATTTTAATAATATTGATATTCAGAAGTTAAATTATATTTAGGAGACCTAAGCTATCTGGGGAGGGCATAATTCATTTTTAGAAGAATATAAAATAAAATTAAAACATGAAGTAATTAACTAGACTTCTGCTTTATGAACAATGTATTTAACTGTAGAAACACATTTCCTGATGATATCCAGCAAAGCAGATAGCTCTGCATATCAGTGTTGGAGAGTTTACAAACTTCTTTTCCAAACTAATTTTTTTTCCAAATCTAATAATAATTTTTCTGAGAAAAAATATAAAACTCTTAAAAGTGAACAAAGCCATGTGTTTCTTTTTTTGGGGGGGTGCTGGGGGGCAGAATACTGGGGATTGAACTCAGAAGCACTCAATCACTGAGCCATATCCTCAGCCCTATTTTATATTTTAATTAGAGACAGAGTTTCACTGAGTTAGTTGCTCAGTGCCTTGCTGTTGCTGAGGCTGGCTTTGTACTCTAGATCCTCCTCCTCAGCCTCCCAAGCCACTGGGATTACAGGCTTGCCTGGCCAAAACCATGTTTTTAAAAACAATTTATATTCAATATAAATAAGTTTTTCCTGGTTTACAAATTTCATTAGAATATTACCTTTAAAAACAATAGTCAGGATTCTCGAATCCTGTTATGCTTGCGTAGTAATCAATAAACTTTGAAATTAACTAATGAGTTGGGGATTTGGAAGACAGAGATTCTTCATAGGTATATCTTAAAATAATCATTAAACTTGGACTAAATAGACAAACTAAATAGAAACAAAATGTGATAATTTTCCTATAACACAATATATAGCTTTAATATTATAATTAATTTTGAGTATTAATTTTGAAGCACTACTAGATAAATGGTTAAGAAATGTTCATTCTTTAAATAAAATAATACAAAGGCATGATTATTTACTAATATATTCTGGGAAATAATGCTCAATGTTTAAATAATTATTTTAAAATTATCTCTGTTAGAATATGTGATCAATTCAATATAAACATTACATTTCCCAATTATTATTAACTTGGTATTTCTTACTGATAGATAAATAATAAGTCGTAGTTTTTAAATCTCACCTTATAAAGTTTTGTTTTCTTTAGTTTTTCTAGATCAACATAATATATGAAAACTATTGACAATATTTTCTCCCACCAGTTCATTGACTAATTTTCTTACAACTAGTGAGCTGCCAAAGTACATTATAATAACAGTATAAAGTGGTGTAGGTTTCAGAGAACTAGAGTTTATAATACTCAATCTAAGCATTTTGTGGGAACTGTTTTTTTTGTCTAATGGATTATTATAAACATTTCATAATTGTTAACATTTAAAAGTATTTCTATTTTGTGTATCATTCTGTAGTCTCTTTACAAAGCCAGGGAACATGAGATTGAAAGCGAAGAGCATTTTAAGGCCATTGCCCAAAGAGAACTGGGACGAGTGAAGGAAGAGATCCGTCGACTAGAAAATGAGATGGCTACAATACAGGAAAGAAAAAGTGATAAGGAAGTATGTGTTGAAGAGCTACTTAAAAATTTGTGCTACTGTACCTTTTTCTCATCAAAGGAACCTTGATTTTTGTTTGTGTGTAAAGAAGGCATTCATTAGTTTCCTGGCATTTACTTATATTGTTTTTTGGACAACAAAAGGGCATGGAGATATGATTGAATAAAATAATGCTACATTATTACATTTCCCTCATTATTCATTCACCAGCTATGTATTGAGAGTCTATGCAAAGTATCACACTGGCTGCCTGTTATAATATAATAGGCATGGTTTATATGCAAGTGCTAAATTTTTAACAGCTGTATCACTCTAGGTTTGAATTTCATTTACAATTCTTACCTTTTGTATTAATTTGTCAGCTTTGTGACTCTAATATTAAGCTACTTTAACCTTTCTCTTTTCTTTAGCTTCTAGTTACTTGAGTTAGAAGCTCTTTCCAAATTTTGAATCTTTTCTTTATATATGCATGTACATATGGAAATATACACATACAAATTTTGTTATAATTTTATAATGTATTTGTATATGTAATATCATTCATATCAATTTGTATTTCTATATTATTCTGTTTTATGAATATAGATTATGACTAAATTTAAAATATTAAATATTTTTTAGCTCCTTTACTATATTTGCTTCTGTTAGGAGTACTTCAAAAATTTATATCTTATATAGATAAGAGACTTCCAAATATGATTGGAAATGGGGCTGACAGGAACTTGTGGTTTTAGTTAACATATCAAACACATTTTTACCTAAGACTGTGTATATATTTGGGGTGGCTTTGGTGGAGTGACTGAGGAGATTGCTGTCAGGAAGCTACCCCCCCCAATTTTTTTTTATTTGTTCTTTTTAGATATATATGACAGTCGAGTGTATTTTGACGTATTATACACACATGGAGTATAACATATTCTAATTAGGATCCTATTCTTGTGGTTGTACACCATGTGGAGTTTCACTGGTTATGTATTCATATATGAACATAGAAAAGTTATGTCCAATTCATTCCACTGTCATTCCTATTCCCATCCCTGCTGTCTTCCCTTCATTCCTCTTTGTCTAATCCAATGAACTTCTGTTCTTCCCTCCCCCTCCCCTTATTGTGTGTTAGCATTCACATATCAGAGAGAACATTTGGCCTTTGATTTTTTTGGAACTGGCTTATTTCACTTAACATGATAGTTTCCAGTTTTATCCATTTCCAGAAAATGCCATAATCTCATTCTTCTTTATGGCTGAATAATATTCCATTGTGTGTGTGTGTGTGTGTGTGTGTGTCACATTTTTTATCCATCCATCTGTTGAATCTGTTGAAATGCTCTATAGCTTTGCTATTGTGAATTGAGCTGCTATAAATATTGATATGGTTGAGTCACTGTAGTATGCTTATTTTTAAGTCCTTTGGCTGTATACCAATGAGTGGGATAACTGGTTTAAATGGTGGTTCCATTCCAAGTTTTATGAGGAATCTCCAGACTGCTTTCCATAATGGTTGTACTAATTTGTAGTCCCACCAGCAATGTAAACCATTTCCCCCACATCCTCACCAACATTTATTGTTACTTTTATTCTTGACCATTGCCATTCTGACTGGAGTGAGACGGGCTCTCAGTGTAGTTTTGATTTGCATTTCTCTAGTTGCTAGAAATGTTGAATATTTTTTCATCTATTGATTGACCATTCATATTTTTTCTTCTGTAAAATATCTGTTCATTTTCTTCCCATTTATTGAGTTTTTTTATATTAAGGTTTTTGAATTCTTTGTATATCCTGGAGATAAATGCTCTATCAAATGTGCATATGATAAAGATTTTCTCCCATTCTGTAGGCTCTCTCTTCACATTCTTGATTGTTTCCTTTGCTGTGAAGAAGCCTTTTAGTTTGATACCATCCCATTTATTGATTTTACTTCATATGCTTTAGGAATCTTGTTGAGGAAGTTAATTCCTAAGCTGACATGATGGAGAGTTGGTCCTACATTTTATTCTATTAGGTGCAGGGTTTCTGGTCTAATACCAAGGTCCTTGATCCACTCTGAGTTGAGTTTTGTGCAGGTTGACAGTTAGGGGTTCAATTTCATTCTACTACATATGGATCTCTGGTTTCCCCAGCACCATTTGTCGAAGAGGCCATCTTTTCTCTAATGAATGTTTATGGTGCCTTTGTCTAGTATGAGATAACTGTATTTATGTGGATTTGTCTCTGTGTCTTCTATTCTGTTCTATTGGTCTTCATGTCTGTTTTTTTGCCAATAAGATGCTGTTTGAAAAACTTTTCAAGAGACTTCTGGCTCAACTACTGTTCTCGACTTAGTGTAATTTTCCATTTTATGACTTAAAAAATTTAAATATGAGTATGATGGTTTTGTAGTGAAATGTGACATTATGAATATCTGGAAGATGGGAGCAGAATTTCTACTTAATATGTTCTGTTGTATACAATATTATGTTTTATTTTGGTTTGTATAGTGAATAACGTTTTATAATCTCCCTTTTACATTCCTTGGAAATAAGAATGGCATATTTAAAGCTACTCAAAAATTGGATGGTTTGAAATGTCAAATGAATTGGGACCAGCAAGCCTTGGAGACCTGGTTAGAAGAATCAGCTCATAAAGATAGTGATGCCCTCACTCTTCAGAAATATGCACAACAAGATGATAATAAAATTAGGGTAAGAAATTATAAATTGTAATTGTCAATTTGTCTCTAAATCTGTAGTATGTCAATCTTCCTTCCTTCCTTCCTCTCTTTCTTGCCTACAATTGTATTTACTGATTTTTAAAGCAGGACCAGAGACTCCATTTTGTATCTAGTAAAGCCAAATATTCTCTCCATACCAAAAAAAATGACTATACTTAAATAACCAAAAATTTTGCTGGCAATTTTACAGATCCTTTGATAGTTTTATGGATTCTTCTTTGATCAATTGGGGATCCATGGATGTCAGGTTAAGACTATCTTGATTTAGAAGGATTCTTGAGAGCATTTCAGAACAGAAAGTCTTATACTAGAACTTTTTATTGACATTTTACCTATTGTATTTAAAATATAGTTTGAATATTATATTTTTTGCTATTTGAGAATATAGTGCTATTGTTTGATCTGTTATCATAACCATCACTTAAATTCCACTTATATCTGGTGATATTAACAAAGTTAGTATTATAAAACATGCTATTTTCTAGTAGGCTTAATATCAAATATATTATGTTAAGTAGTTTCAAATGTCTGATTATAATTTAATATTTTTTTCTATTTAAGAAGTATTAACAGTCATTTTAGAAATTATTGAATATTCATGAAGCTATAGGCAAATAGTTTAGCCCTTTGGGGTTAAAAGATAAGGAAAATGTATACTATATATAGTTGGTTTAGATATCAAATAATGCATAATATTGTGTAAAATAGTTATGGTTGGGTATATTATCTAATAGCTTTTAAATTAATAAAATGATAATAATGAATATTTTGCATGAAACCACATCTTAGGCCTTGACTCTGCAATTAGAAAGACTGACTTTGGAATCTAATCAGAGAAGAAAGATTCTTGACAATGAACTGGTGGAGACTCTAAGTGCACAGGTTGGTTTAATAAAGGTTTTTATTTCTTTTTTTTTTTTCAAGGTGATATTTACAGAAGCACTTAAATTCACATAAATGTTCTTTGCTCTTCTAATTGACAGTTAGAATTGGATAAAGCAGCACAAGATTTTCGTAATATTCACAATGAAAGACAAGAACTCATTCAACAGTGGGAGAACACAATAGAACAGATGCAGAGAAGGGATCAAGACATAGATGACTGTGCCTTGGTAAAGTAATTTAGTTCTTGTAATGTTCAGCTGTGTTTGTCTCTTTTGTATTTAACTCATTATTTTAAATGTAAATCACAGTGTTATTTGGAAGTCACTTTTGCAGCAGGATTCAATAATTTTGATGTTCTTCAAAGCTGAATCTATCCAATTAGAAATGTGATTTTATGAATATTATTTTCTTATAGTATTATAATCCATGAAGGCTGAATCTTGCCATCTACGAATTGTGTAACAAATATTACTGCAGTAAAACAAGGCCCTGACTTACACATGGTTGTCCATGATACCTTAGATTTAACGTATGTGCGGTTTGGCAGTAAGTTATAGGTGTAGGGAAATGAGCCTTGGTAAATAACCAAGATATAAATGAAGGAGATTCAGACAAGAAACTTAGATGGTTATAAGGTTTAACTTTGGTACTGGGATTGAACTCAGGGGCACTCGACCACTGAGAGATATCCCTAGACCTATTTTGTATTTTATTTAGGGACGGGGTCTTACTGAGTTGCTTAGCACCTCACTTTTTGCTGAGGCTGGCTTTGAACTTGTGATCCTCCTGCCTCAGCCTCCTGAGCCTCTGGGATTACATTGGATTACAGGTGTGTGCCACCATGCCTGGCTAGGTTTAACTTTTTAAATTGGGGTGCCAATAATGATGTAGAAGGGGAGAAGGATGGCACAATGGTAATATAGAGCTAGTATTATCACTTGTTACTTTCAGAGGTAATTTAGGAGAACACTATTGGGAAAGAAATAAGGAATGAAGTATTGGTAAGTAAAAATGGGAGGATTAGGAGGAGTTGGGAAGGAGAAGAAATCAAGGAGGAGAGAAGGAGGTTGAGAAGATGTGTTTCAGAATTCCATTATAAAACTATTCCAAAAAAAGGACAGCAGCCAAGGCCACTGGGAGTTTAGAATTCTGATTACTTGTGATTTTTGTATTTTAAATTTCTGTAAGAGACCAATGTTTTATTGGTTAATGGGCTATGTCTTTCTAGGAGGAACACATGAGAACCAATTATACTAGAGGTCCTCTTAATTTTTAGTGTAGATATTGTTATCTATTTTTTAACTTCTTTCTACTTTCAAAATCAAGTCCTGTCTGTCACCCCTTACATTACAGGTCCACAATCAGCATTCTCATACCACTCCATGGCTAAATTTGCTCAGCCTATTGATTTGGCAGTAGTAGCTATCTGATCATAATAAAAGTGGGTTCTTAGTTTCACATTGACATCTCTGATTGGGTTGTCAGAGATTAGGAAGGGTGCCAAGTAATGGTTTCTTTAGGCAGTGGTACACTTCTAAATGTTTTTTATAACTGTTCTCTGAGAAGAAAACAAGATAAAATAAACACAAAACCTCCTGGTTTAAGTATTTCTGATTTCTATGGTATAACTACTTCCTTACCAACATGAGTCTCCTGAATACAGAGTAGAGTAGAGATGTGTAAAATCAATTTTTGTGAGTCAACAAGAGCTGCTTCATACTGCTGCAGCATTTAGACTGGATAGGTTAGGTTTTTCTATGTCTATCCTGTTAGGCTTTTTATCTAGGATTGACAAAAAACAGATTAACAGGAGAAAAGCATACATATTTTATTTACAAATACAGGGAAGCCCAAACAAGAAAAATACTCAAAAGATGTGGCAAGACCTAAGTCCTTTATACTAAGTTGAACAAAGAATTGCAATTTTGGAAAAGTAAGATGGCAAGGATTAGTTTGACAAGATTTGTTTATCTAGATTTCTCTTGGCCTTGACTCCTTGTCTCTGGTGATGTGAATGTCTTTCTCCTGCAGTAGATGGGCACCTTTCATATAGGAGTTTTGCCTTTTGCTTTCAAGGGGAAAAAGAAGAGTACCCTTCTTGGGATCTGCAGTGTTTCAAGTGCCTTTAACTCAAAATGGTCAATAAGCTGAAGTAGGATTGTTTGGGGGTGGTGACATATTTTGATCTTCTGCAACTGAAATTGTATTCTTTCGTCTCTTTTCAAACAAAACTTGTCATTTTAGTGACACCTTAGCAGGAGTCTGGCCAAAAAATTCTGAAATTGGCTTCTTAAGAGAAACAGTATTTAGAAAAGAAAAAAAATTTCTATACTATGGTTTTATTCTAAGGTAGAAATGTTGGTATAAGCAACATATTTTCACTTATAAGCATCACCCATATGAAAACATAAATAGCACTGTTGAGAAATATAATGTTGAAGTTGGCCTAAAGCATTTGCCTAAGTGTTAGAAAAATTAATGTAATGCAGAAAACTTTAGAATGATCATTGGAAATGTTTAAACATAGGAAGTTCTGCTATGTCTTTTGTTTGAGTCCAATAATTATATAGAATGTTATAGAATGTTTTTGTTATAGAGAACATATAGGAATACTACATTAAACAAATTTAAAACATCTTATTAAAAGTACATTAAATCTCAGATATGCATCAATTTAATATGCAAGTGTGTACAAATATGATGTGTAACATTTAAAAAACTGACTGATTTCAGAATACATATATCCTCCCCCAGTTTCCTAGGATTAGTTATTTGGTAGGTTCCCCTTTGGTAAACATAAAAGAAATACATTAGGGTAATTTTTCCTTTTAATTCATCAAATCTATTGCCATCAGAGTCACTTGTAAAAAGCTCATCTGATCTTTTTATTCCCCAGGTTTAAAATATTCTTTGTTCCACAGTGCTTAAAAAGTTGACCCTCTTTAAAATGGCATTTGATTTTACACAATTGTGGTCTAAGTTCTACCTTTCCAGTCTCATTCCTTGCATCTATATCTTGTTCTTAATCTATTCCCTTCTCTTTTCTGCCCTCCCACCCTGCACTCTAATCACTTTAGGATATTTATGCATCTCCATGCACTGTCACAGGCCTGACTTAAATGATGCCTCTTGAGTCATATCTTCTATTGACTCCTCTGGGGTAGAATCCATCATCTCCTTGTTCTCATACTTATTTTGTCCACATTTCAGTTATACTTTATGTATTCCATTTATTATTGTATATTTAAGATCAGCAAAAGATGGAGTGGAGATCTTCCTTTACAAACAAATAATTAAAATGTTATTTTTGAAAAATGAAAAATACTGATCTGTAAAATATTTGGAAAAATTTATTAAAATACAAGTTTCTATGTGAAAAATAGTTAAAAGTATAATATTTTTAGGTGCTACCCTTCATATGTAAAGTCCCAATTGTTTTTCTTTCTTTAACAAAGTTCCAAAAAGATAAAATAGAGACCTTTAGCCATATGAGTTTATAGATATTAATGTATGACATATTAGTATTTTGTTCTTATAAGAGACTCTTTTATTCATATAAAAGTATCTCTTAAAATGTTTTTTGTTAAATAAATGCTGAATATAATAATGGAAAAAATAAAAATGAAGTTCCTTTTAGTTTTGTTATATTAAATAAATATTTAAATGAACACATTGTTTCAATCCTAGGCATTAATGAAGGTAAAGCAGGAAATAAGAGAAAAGGAAAATTTGGTCAAAGAAAAGATTAAGTTTTTGGAAAGTGAGATTGGAAATAATGCAGAATATGAAAAAAGAATTTCTGCTGCTGAGCGTAAAGTTTTTAAATGTAGAATGGAGTATCAACACCATGAAACTAGCAGAAGTCAGCTGAAGGATGAGGTATGTCAACTACAAGATGGCTTTGTGTGTTCATGACAACAGTACTATAAGATAGCATAAAGCTTTTCCTTGGTTTAAGGAACTATCTTCTAGTTCTTCTTGCTACATCTCTTTTATAAAACTTCTAGGGCACTCCCATTGAGCCCCAGAATGCTGAGGTACCTGGGAGGACTCTCCTGATGGAGTTGTGCAGTGCCCAATCTGCTCGCCACATATGGTATTCTGTAAGGGACCTGAAGACAAATGGTTTCTGAGGATCTAGATGGAAATTGTAGTGGCAAGGTAACAGGCAAATGTGAAAATGAATATTAACACACAATTACGGGTGATAATGTGAAGTGTCTTTCCATTGCTACAAGTGTATGTGTAATTTTAACTCTAAAATTCCACTGGAGATACCTGCTTAAGTTCACTGAGTATTATTTTGGTCTGGTAGGCTAAAGGAGAATGATATTTTGGTCTAATAGTAGGCTAATGTGGGGATAAAAAAACTTGAAACAGAATTAGAGGACAAAACTTCTCAGGCATACATGTCAACTAGACTATTTTGTGCAGAGAACAGCCCTTTAGTTAGCAAGAGAGGATCTTTAGAATATTTCTGTATTGAGGTAATATGATCTGAAATTACCAGTTTTGAAGTAGAAAATTGGAATATTATAAATATTATAGACCATTTTATTCTACAAGCTATTATCATTTTTATCTCTGATGCAGAAGATTTTTTTCTGTATAAAGACAATAATCAGATCATAAAAATAAATAATTTCTTGCTTAAATTAGATGTCACTGCTGATAGCTCATTCTTAAAATTTTCAGGGTTTAAGCCAGTTTCAGAAAAGAACACAAGGATTGATTGATTCACTTATTTTATTATTCAGTCATAATTTATTTATCAAGATGTAATTACCATATAGTAATTTATTCTTTTAAAGTGTGCCATTCAAAAGTTCTTAGTATTTTCATGAAGTTGGGGAATTATCACCACTGTCTAATTTTAGAATGTTTTTGTCACCCCAAAAAGAAACTCTATCTTCAATAGTAGTCATCCTTGTCCCTTCTGTTGACCCCTGACAGCTATTGATCTACTTTCATTCTCTAGAGATTTTCCTATCCTGTACATTTCATGTAAAAGAAATATAACATGTAGATTTTTGTCTGGCTTCTTACTATATTTTCAGGGTTCACCCACATAATAGCATGCATAAGTACTTCATTTCTTCTGATGCAGAATAATATTCCATTGAATAGATATACCCCATCATTTAGGCATTCATCAGCTGATGGACATTTTGGTTGTTTCCACTTTTTAAAGCTATTTTGAATAATGTCACTGAGAACATTCATGCTATTTATTTAATTCATTAATTATTTAAAAAATATTTTATACACTAGGATGTTAGAACCTCTGTCTTACATTGAGATAGTTACTATTGATTCTCTTTAATAGATTGCAAATTTTCTTTTATTTTAAAAATATATGCATCTTTTTTCTGGGCTTTATTGACAAATGATTGACAATTGGAATTGTGTATATTTATGGTATAAAATGTGATATATTGATAGGTATATACAATGTGAAATGATCACCCTGATTATGCTAATTAATACATATATCACTTCACATAACTATTTGGGTGTGTGTGGTGATAAACTTAAGAAATATTCTCTTGGAAAATTTCAAATATATAATAAACTAGTGTTAACCATGCTATATTTTAGATTTCCATAACTTCTTTACAACTGAATAGTTATATCCTTTGACTAATATCTAGCCCCTGCTAACCAGAATTCTATTATCTGCTAATGTAAGTTTGACTTTATTAGATTCCACGTATAGGTGAGATCATGCAGTATTTGTCTGTTTCTTGCATAATTAATTTAGCATAACACCCTCATATTTCATCCATATTTTTAGAAGTAGCAGAATTTTTTCTTTTTTCAAGGCTGAACTATATTCCATCATGTGGAATATAGTTTCTTTATACACTCATCTGTTCATGGATACTTAGGCAGTTTCCCTCTGTTGACTATTGTGAATAAGACTACATTGAACTTGGGGGATTAAGTCTGTCTTTAGCATAATGATTTTTCTCCCTTGGGGTCTTGGTCCAGAAGTAGGATTACTGGATTATATGGTAATTCTGTTTTTAATTTTTTGAGGAACCTCCATATTTTTTTTCCATAATGACTTTAAAAATTTATATTCCTACCCACCAGGAAAATTTCCCTTCCTCCACATCCTCTTCACTTTTTATTTTTTGATAAGTCATCTTGGGTGTAAGGAACTTTTTTTCATGTGCTTTTTATATTAAATCCAAAAAAAATACTGTGGAAATTAATTAGTTTTTTTCCTTAGAATTCTTCTCAGAATTTTATAGTGTTATTTTTATTTATTTATTTATTTTTTAAGAATTTTTATTTGTTTTAATTAGTTATACATGATAGTAGAATGCATTTATACACTTTGAATCATACATAGATTGGATATAATTTCTCATTTTTCTGAGTGTACATGTTATAGAATCACATTGGTTATGTAGTCACATATATACATAAAGCAGTAATATCTGTTTTGTTCCACTATCTTTCCTATCTTTAATTCATTTTTAAAACTTGCTATTTCTAGATACACATGACAGTAGAATGTATTTTGACATATTATACATATGTAGAATAAGTATAAGTTGTTCCAACTAGGATCCCATTATTGTGGTTGTATATGATGTGGAGTTACATTGATCATGTATTCCTACATAAGGATAGGGAAGATATGTTCGATTCATTCTACTATGTTTTCTATTGCCATTCCCCCTCCCTTCCCTTCATTCCCCTTTGTCTAGCCCAATGAACTTCTAATATTCTCCTTCCTTGTTGTGAGTTAGCATCCACACATCAGAGAGAACAGTCTACCTTTGATTTTTGGGGACTGGCTTATTTCACTTAACATGATAGTCCCCCAGTTCTATCCATTTACTGGCCAATGCCATAATTTTATCCTTCTTTATGACTGAGTAACATTCCATAGTGTATATGTACCACATTTTCTTTATCCATTCATCTGTTGTAGGGCACCCAGCTTGGTTCCATAGTTTAGCTATTGTGAATTGAGCTGCTATAAACATTAAAATGGCTGCATTACTGTAGTATGCTGATTTAAAGTCTTTTGGATAACTGGCTCAAATGGTGGTTCTATTCCAAGTTTTATGAGGAATCTACAGACTGCTTACCAGAGTGGTTGCAACAATTCACAATCCTACCAGCAATGTATGAGCGAAACATTTTCCCCACATCCTCACCAACATTTATTATTACTTGTGTTCTTGACTATTGCCATTATGACTGGGGCGAGATGGAATCTCAGTGCAATTTTAATTTGTATTTCCTTAATTGCTAGAGACATTGAACATTTTTTCATATATTTGTTGACCACTTGTTTTTCTTCTTCTGTGAAGAGTCTATTTAGTTCTAAGCCCATATATTGATTGAGTTATTTTATTTTATTTTGGGTTTTGGTGTTAAGTTTATTGATTTTTTTTGTATATCCTGTAGATAAATGCTCTATCTGAGTGCATGTGGTAAAGTTCTTCTCCATTCTGTAGGCTCTCTCTTCATATTTTTGATTGTTTCCTTTTCTGTGAAGAAGCTTTTTAGTTTGATTCCATCCAATTTGTTGATTCTTGATTTTAACTTCTTGTGCTTTAGAAGTCTTATTGAGGAAGGTGGTTCCTAGGATGACATAGTGGAGAGCTGAGGCCTACTTTTTCTTCTAGTAGGCATAGTCTCTAGTCTAATGCCTAGGTTCTTGATCCACTTTGAGTTGATTTTTGTACAGGGTGAGAGATTTCGTTCTAGTACATATGGATTTCCAGTTTTCGCAGCATAATTTGTTGAAGAGGCTAGCTCTTCTCCAAAGTATGTTTTTGGCACCTTTATTTAATATGAGATAACTGCATTTATGTGGGTTTGTCTCTGTGTCTTCTATTCTGTTGCATTGGTCTACATGTCTGTTTTTGTGCCAATACCATGCCATTTTTTGTTATTATAGTTCTGTAATACATATTAAGGTCTGATATTGTGATGTCTCCTAAGTCTCTTTTCTCACTAAGGATTGCTTTGGGTATTCTGGGCCTCTTATTTTTCCAAATTAATTTCATGACTGCTCTTTCTATTTCTATGAAGAACGTCATTGGAATTTAAGAGGAATTGCATTATATATGTATAGTACTTTTGGTAATATGGCCATTTATAATATTGACATTATTAATTCTGCCTGTCCAAGAGCATGAGGGAGCTTTTTATCTTCTAAGATCTTTTTTAATTTTTTTCTTTAGAGTTCTGTAGTTTTCATTGTAGAGGACTTTCACCTCTTTTGTTAGATTGATTCCCAAATATTTTATGTTTTTTGAATTGTGAATGGGGTAGTTTTCCTAATTTCTCTTTCAGTGGATTCATCACTGATGTATAAGAAGGTGTTTGATTTATGGGTATTAATTTTATATCCTGCCACTTTGCTGAATTCATTTATTAGTTCTAGAAGTTTTTTTTTGGTGGAATTTTTGGATCTTCTCAATATAGAATCATGTCATTGGCAAATAGTGATAGTGTGAGTTCTTCTTTTCCTGTTCATATTCCTTTAATTTCTTTTGTCTGTCTAATTGCTGTGGTTAGAGTTTCAAGGACAATGTGGAATGACAGTGGTGAAAGAGGGCATCCTTATCTTGTTCCAGTTCTTAGAGGGAATGCTTTCAATTTTTCTCCATTTAGAATGATGTTGGCCTTGGGTTTAGCATATATAGCTTTTATAATGTTGAGGTATGATCCTACTATCCCTAGTTTTTCTAGTGTTTTTAACACGAAAAGGTGCTGTATTTTGTCAAATGCTTTTTCTGTATCTACTGAAATGATAATATGATTCTTGTCTTCAAGTCTATTGATGTGATGAATTATGTTTATTTGCTTATGCTGTACGATAGCTTTGTAATATAGTTTGACCTCAGGAAGTGTGATTCCCCCAGCTTTGCTTTTCTTGCTCAAGACTGCTTTAGCCATTTGGGGTTTTTTGTGATTCAATACGAATTTTAGGATTGTTTTCTACTTCTGTGAAGAATGATGTTGGAATTTTGATAGGAATTTTATTGAGTTGGCTTCAAATATTACAAACATTCAGACAATGTTACTTTTTCTAACTCATGAATACTGGATATCTGTTTCTATTTCTTTGTGTCTTGTATAATTTATTTTATCAATATTTTCCAATAAGATCTTTGACCTCCTTGGTTAAATTTATTCCTAAATATTTTATTCTTTTTAGTGGTTTTTGTAAATGAGCTATTTAAAATTTTCTTTTTCAGTAGTTTGGTAGTGTATAGAAATAAACTGTTTTTTATATGTTGATTTTGTATCTTATACCTTTACTGAATTTGTTTATTAGTTTGAACTTACTTTTTGGTAGAGTCCTTAGGATCTTGCAAATTTAGTGAAGGAGAAAATTTGTATCTTGGACTTTCTGTTTTAACAATTTAGATTAATGGTAAAATGTAGGTGATTAGGAGGATTTGTGTATTTAGGATGATGTATTAGAACCTTTGAGATTTTTTTCAGATCCAACTGTACTCATATGATTTTCACAAGCACTTTATATACAGACATTAATTTATCTTGAATCCTGGGATATGGTCTTCCTAAGTAGGTCTAGTGATATTGGACATTTCTGCATTTCAACACATTTATGTAATTTTTAAATAATTTAATAGTATTATAAAGCAGACCATTTAAAATTTGACATGAAAATAAGTAAGAAAATACATATATATTAATTACAAAAAAGTTTTGTGGGTGTGGTATAGGTTAGAACTTAAAAATGGGCACAATTGAACTTCTTAGAAATGAAGTTAATTTATAAGAAAATAAATAAATAATTTTGTCATTTAACTAATGAATAGCTGGATTCTTTAAAAGCCACTGTGAATAGAACTTCCAGTGATTTAGAAGCTCTGAGGAAGAATATTTCCAAAATAAAGAAAGATATTCATGAAAAAACAGAAAGGTAAGAAAAAAAGCTATTTAAATATGTTTATGGTTTTTTTAGATACTTAAATTTATTTTCTATAAAATAATTGCAAAATTATAGCTACTACTCTACTGAGCTTAAGACAGTTTTACCTGACTTTCATCACAAAGGCTCTAGAGCAGTATTTTTATATTTATTAGATATACAATTTATAGTGAAAAGGTTTATAGTAAATTTTCATAAGATATAAAGAAGTCTTAGGATAAATTATTCTTTGTTTTCATTAAATACTTTTTTGGAGTTTGTTTTCTATTTTTTTCCTCACTATTTAGGTTACAAAGAATCAAAAATCATAATCAGATTGTAAAAAAAAAATTAAGTCACATTACTGAAAAAACCATGTCTGTGGAAGAAAAAGCTACCAATCTGGAGGATATGTTAAAGGAAGAAGAAAAAAGTGTAAAGGTAAAGTTTACTTTTAATTTTTTAAAATTAGCAAGAGTGAATTCATTAGACTCTTGGGGTCAGAGGACTATTTGTTTTGAGGCACTGGAAAAGGCTAGTCACCATTTCCTCATTGAAATTTTCAAAGGGACCTGTAAGGGTGCTCGGTTACAGTGGGCACTACTTCTTGCTTTTATCCTTTTTGCAGGGACCAAAGGGGAGGAAGAAGGGATAGCTGAAGATGATGGCAAATTCCCTAGACATTTTATAGGCATATATAAAATATCTCTAGTTATATTTGGATGGAATACAGCTTCCTCAGTAGTCATGTAAAAATTTCTGAGTAGCAATCTTGACTTGAGTGGTGTTTGAGTCCAAATCATACAACATTATTTTTTTAAGTTGTTTTTGTCCTCTAATGGCATGATTTTCTATGGCACATGATAGACGGCAGTATTGGAACTTACTACAAACTTGTAAAGACTGTAAAATTCATATGAAATAGACCTTTTGATCACAGAGAATAAAAAAATCATTTTTAGAGAAATTAATTAAATTAGAAAATAAAAATATTGGCAGCAGATGTACTGATCGTATTCTAGCAGGACTGTTCATTATCTTAATTTTTTTTTGATGTTGTCTTTTGTTTGGAAAAAAAGGCTAACTCTATCTTTATTGAATATATACTGTATTATTTACCCTAAAACACGGACTTCAAAATTCTGCTAGGTAATCTTTGAGAAGGTCTTAAACCCAATGAAAACTGTCTGTTTTATGAAAAATGATGTGTTGATTATCAGGTATTTCTTGCTTTATAAAGATTAAAATGTGCCAACCATAGATTTCTTTTACTTCATATTGAGATTCACTGGTTACAAAAAGTATAAGAACACAGAAGGAAATTATTTCAACATTTAAAAATGATGACTTTCAGTTGATCTTAGCTTGGTAGATCAACCAGAGCTTAGAATACATTGGTGATAAGTTTCTAGGTCAAGATCAAGTTTGCTTCCAAGAGGAGAAATGAAAAGGGGGACTTGTTTGTATTTCCCAGGGGGCAGCACATGGCAGGAAGGTCAACATGTATGAGTGATAGATAGTGCAAATAGTGTGCAGGGCCTGCCCTCTATTAGCCTATAAAGCCAGTATTTTAATTTCCAGGAATTTATATTATGCTGCTAAACACAGTTACTGTTAAAATCAAATTCTATTTATAATTGAATAAATTATATTCAAAACAAAAGCAAAAGTAATAAATATTCAGCATTTATCCCTTCCAAATTATTTTATTATAATCTATGTCTTAAGGTTAAAATTACTTACATCTCCTATCTGTATGTTGGAAATGCTGCATAATGGTCTGCTTCTGTGTATCATTCCACAACTCTGCATTTAGTGGACTCATGTTAGTAGCTTGAAATTGGTTGCTGTAGTAAATGTTTATATCGTGAAAGTCATATTCTTCTGAATCCCACCTCCATTGGAGAGCTGATATTTAGACATTTACCTGCTCATTACATAATCAAAAGAAGATGGAGTTTGGGTGACACTGTTTCTTCCCTCCCACACCCTCAAGATGGCAGTGAACTCAGTGAACTTATATATTTTTCTCCAGTGGTTTTTATTTTTTGAGAAAACCAGTGGAGTGACCTAGTGTTGAGACTAGGGCCATGTGATATGGAATTAAGATGACAGGACAAAGTGCATGATAGAGGAATAGAAAACTCCTAATTTAGTCTACTAGAGTAGATGATAGGAAATGTTGGGAATTTGTTGAAATCATGCATGGGGTTTTATATTCCCAAAGGCTTCAATATTGGTGGCAAGATTTCAAGTTTGTTTATAAGCTCCTAAATTATAGTGTTCATATATAAAAAACATTTTAAGATATTATGATTTCATTAACCATTATAATTCTTATTATCAGGAAGTAGAAGTTCAATTGAACATAGTGAAAGATGTGCTATTTAAGAAAGTTCAGGAGTTACAGACTGAGACAATGAAAGAAAAAGCTGTCATATCTGAAATTGAAGGAACCCGTTCCTCTCTGAAACATCTCAACCGTCAATTATATAGACTGGATTTTGAAACTCTGAAGCAGCAAGAAATTATGTACTGTCAGGTAGATGTTACTCTTGTGATTGTCTTCCATATTGATTTTTTATAGTTGTGGTGGTCAAGATGCCTCAATATCCTAAGAGAAGAACAGTTTCTAAGCACTCTTTTGGAAGGACAGACAGATGCTAATGGTGGGATATTATGTTAGGTTCACAGTAGGATAGGGAAACCCTAAAAGCTATTCTTTTTCTCTAACATGAATAGGCAATAGGAGAGACAATTCTAGTGAGGGAGACCCATGTTTTAAAGGAAACGGGGACAGCTGAGCCCAGAACAAAACAAGTCATGGGATACCTGAAAACAAGAAAAAACTATGTTGATTTTTATGTGTGCCAATATGAACACCTCATCCCTATCCCCAGGGCAATAGAGTAAATGTATTTTTCATTTTTTCTGTATTTATTAAAGACACACACATCTTACGTATTTTCATGATAATTTCTTAACACCCTCTCTTTCTACATCTTAATTTTCTCATCTAATATATTCTTGGTGGTTCAAAATTAAGTATAATTTTTAAAATGATTAATGAGAAGTTTATTATATTTGAACCTTTCCTAGTTATTTGTGACTATCTTTCTTGCATGCTCTAGAAAATGTACCCTCAACGATCCATGTCTATATAAGTCCAGTAAATTTACTAAGGCTTTTAGGGCAGTATGATAAACACCCCTGACTTTGTTACATTTTTAGATTGCTTTCATGTAACTCATGCACTCTGTTGAAAATGGTTTGTTGTTGTTCCCTTTAAAGAAATATTCTATCCTGAATTGCTAAAGGACTAGAGCGATTTTACTAAGTGATGATGTCAACGCCAAATGCATAAGAATGTGTTCAGTGTGTTTTTATGTTACAGAGAAGCTTTAAATTATTTATTTCTCCTTATTAACTTCTTTTAAAAAACTATAACAGGATTTTTACATTCAACAAGTGGAACGGAGAATGTCACGGTTAAAGGGAGAGATTAATTCAGAAGAAAAACAAGCCCTTGAAGTAAAAATTATTGATCTTAGGAAATCCGTGGAACAGAAGAAGGCTACCCTTGGTGTTTTGGAAACACAAATGAAGAAGCTTCATGTAATTTAGCTTTATGTAATTTGTTATGTTTCTGGTATCCTAGTTAACAGTTGTTCAGTTTTAAGTCAATAGGTTCCCAAGACAACTTTGGTTAAGGTGATTGCTAAATTACCCAAATATATAAACAAAGGTTCACATTTTGAGAGACAGTATTAGAATGTAATGTTCCCATTAAACATTTACTATATGGTAAATATTGTATTATATTTCTCTAATATTTTATTTCACTTAGTTCTTATGCCTTGTGAGGAAGGTACTGTTTCTATTTTACAAAGTATGTGACTTATCCAAGGTTACATAGTTAGTACCTAGAGAACTGGGATTTGATCCTTGGTCTATTTGACTTAGAATTACTTTCTGAGTAGACTTTTTAGAACATTGGTAAACTCCAATTTTTTTTTCCATACTAAATAACTTGATTTCCTGTTTTCTCTGAAATGCTCTCTAAAAGAAGCAGCTCTTATTTTTTGAGTCATCTATTGTTGTTATTCCACTAATTACTTATTACAGTATTTCAGTTGACTCCATTCAGTTAGTAAGGTGAGAATGTTCTTCATCTTTAGGAGTTTTATTATGTTTATGGTAGTATAAAAACCTACAGATGATGAACACTTTTCATATGTTTGTTGATCAATTGTATTTCTTCTTCTGTGAAGTGTCTGTTCAGTTCCTAGCCCATTTATTGGGTTATTTGGGTTTTTTTGGTATTAAGTTTTTTGAGATCGATCTATCTATCTATCTATCTATCTATCTATCTATCTATCTATCTATCTATCTATCTCCTGGATATTAATGCTCTATCCGAGGTGCCTGTAGTAAAGATTTTCTCCCATTCTGTAGGCTCTCTCTTCACATTATTGTTTCCTTTTCTGTCTAGCAATATGTAATTATATTTGTAATAATAATAACAGCCACCACTGATTTCTCATGTGTCAGGCACTGTCCTACATACTTCTTGACAGTAACTGTTTTAATCTTCCCAACAACCTGGGGAAGTAGGAGTTGTTCTCATTTCCATTTCAGAGGTGAGGAACTGAGGAAGAGTAGGTTATCCACCAAGGTCAGATGGCTAATAGGTAATAGAGGTCATCTGATTCTAGAGCTTATTCTTAAGCCCCTATGTTTTCTCAGACCCATAATGTTTTTACTTTGGTACGTGGATAGGATCAAGCAATTCCAGTATAGAAGGGGTGAGTCCTGTAATGAATTAAAATGTATATTCCCTCTCCTTAGAAATGGTGAGCTCTTCATTATTTGGTTGAGCTAGAACAATGCATAATATATTCTATAATTATTGAACTCAGCCTAAACCCAAAATATCAATAGATGATGAAAATAAAAATGTTTCTATGTGACTATCTGTGTATATTATGTAAGATACATAGCATGATGAGAGAGTAAAATATCTGATTATAAATATTCGAGAGTGTATAATTTAAGATATTTTCATTACAGTATGTCCTTAATTTAGTTCTTGAAGACATGCTTTCATATATCTTTTTCTTTTTTTTACAGAATGATCTTTACTTCATCAAGAAGTCAAACAGTAAAAATTGTGATGAAAAACAGTCCCTCATGACTAAAATAGATGAACTAAATATTTTTATTGACAGATCAGAGAAAGAACTTATTAAAACCAAAACTTTAAAACAGGTACACTAAAATTATGTGCATATATCATTTTAAAAGCCATGTAGAAATTTTTAAAAATATGGAAAATAGTGAAGAAGAAAAAAGTATGATCACTGTACCTAAAAAAAGTGTTGAAGTCATATTTTTTTCTTTCAGTCTTTTAAAGAAAATTGGCTTTTTATTTTATTTTGTATTTAATAAATTTTAATATATTATACAAATTTCCTAAAACACTAACTACTCCTTAAGAAACAACTCTTGATGACTTCCTGAAAATATATTGCATGAGTTACTATAACTCACTTAAGCACCTTCTGCTTTGGGGATATATTTGTTTCCAATGTCTGGCTATTATGCATCATACAATAATGGAAAATGCACATATGTCATTGTACAGTTTTTCAGTTAGTTTCCTGGGATAAATTTTTAACTATATAATTATTATTATCAAAAAATTTTAATTGTAGATGGACACAATATATTTATTTTTGTTTGTGTATTTTTATGTGGTGCTGAGGATGAAACCCAGGGCCTCATGCATTCGAGGCAAGTGCTCTACCACTGAGCCACAACCCCAGCCCCTAACTGTATAATTATGAGAGAGGGAGAGAAGAGGGAGAGGAGAGGAAGAGGGAGAAAAGGAAGGAAGGAAAGAGAAATATCTTTGGTGTCTTAAAACTATTTTTTAAGCTAAATTGCCCTCTAGAGGCTTTAACTAATATTTCCCCAACAGCAGTGTGTAAACATTCTATTTCATTTACCACTACTGAGGCTGGGTATTCTAAGTTACAAAACCATTGCCAATTTGATAGACAAATATGGTATCTCATTGTTTTATTCTACATGTTTAAATTTGAGACATTTAAAATATTTTGTTTAAGGATAAAATGTAAAACATTTATGTTTAAATAAAATGTTTACAACATTTTTCCATTATGTTCCGTATTTTTCTTTTTGGATATCTAATTTATGTTTTTTGTCTACTTTTCCACCAGAGGTTTATATATTTGAATTTTTAATGAAATATTCTTATATGTGAAAATATTATTTTGTTGTGTTTATATTTTCATTACTTACCTTTAAATTTTTATTCAGACATGAAATCTTTTTTAAATATCAAACCTGTGGGATTTTTTTCCTCTTTATAATTTTTATGTTTAGAAGCTTCTTTGTCACCCTAAAAATCAGAAAAATGTTTGCTGTTTCTAGTTGCATTGATCTCATTTCTCATGTTAAGTTTTTCATTCATCTAGAATATATTTTTGTACATGTGAGATCTAGTAAGGATATGGTCTCTCCTCCAACTGTAAAGCCAACTGTAAAGCTACATTTATGAAACAGAAAAATCTTATATTTTGTTTCTATGTTTTATTTTTGAGATTGATCAATTTATTCACTCTTATGTCAGGACTCTACTTATGACTAAATTGTTTTAAAATAGAAATGTATTTTCATATTATATTGTGAGATTTAGTTGAGTATAAAAATGTTCTTCCATAGGATTTTATGTTTTTTTCTGGACATTTAAATTTCAATTGTGGGAATAACTTCTTCCTTTTTTTTTCTGTAAAGCCAGAATTTAAAATTGAATGATTTTTTTTTTAAATAATGACTTGGAATAGCCATGCCCACCCCTCCTGCATTATTTATGTATTTATTTATTTATTAAAGAATCATGACTATGGAGCAATTTAAATTTAACCCTAGTTAATGTCTTTAGTCAATGGTCAAATTAGAAAATGGCATATTCTCAAGTTTGACTTTTAGAGCGATAAAAAGGAAGATATTTTGGTTTTGATATACAAATTAATTATTTCAATATTTGAAAATTTTGCTGTTAATAGGATATGATGATAGAGGACAATCTTCTAAAACTTGAAGTTAAACGCACTCGAGAAATGCTTCACAGTAAGGCAGAAGAAGTTCTTTCCCTGGAAAAAAGGAAACAGCAGTTATGTACTGCTATGGACGAGCGAACTGAAGAAATTAAGGTTCATAAAACAATGCTTGCCTCACAAATAAGATACGTTGATCAAGAACGGCAAAGCATAAGGTAATTATCAGTTTTGAAACACTGCTATAGAATTTTGAAAACAAACGTGTGTTAAACCATGATGCAAAGAAAAGACCACCGACTCCAATTTTAAATCAAAGTAAAGTAAGCTTGTAATTCCTACCAGCTGGGACTGTCTCTTCTGAAATCCTTGGATTAGAGAACAGTACTCCAGCTATCTAGGAGTGCAGTTTTATAGCACAAAAAGTTGCAAAAAAAGGGGAGTGTCTTAAAAACTTACAGATAATAGGATTTTGACAAGCATAATAGAAAGGCAGGTAGTAGGTTAATGGTCTAAATGGTTCAGCACCCTGGAAGTAAATTTAGATCCCAACATCAGAATTTATGAGGCACCATTAGGGTTTCAGAGAGCGTTGTTATCTGGTCAGGGAAAGCCAGAAATGGGTGAGTTCAAGGCATGGGCAGGCATTCCAAGCAAGTTTAGAAATTGCAGTAATTTATAGTAAAATAGAAATTAACTTTTCAAGACTTTGTGTTGAGATGGCTCCCAATCTTAAGATGGAAATAGGCTGGGTTCATCAAGTGAAGTGATGCTTGTTCCCTCCATGACCCTGATATTCATCTTTTTTCTTATTCACTTGAAAAGGCCTTAATAGAAGATATAGAGTATGTTATAGCCGTTAAGTCTAGGTACTTTCCTATCTTTCCTTTGGCTTGTTCTTTACTCTTTGGATTCTTGCTTTTAAATTAAGATCATTAAGCCACTTGGGGTTGATTTTTGTGTATGGCTTGTGATAAGGATCCAATAATGAATTTTTCCCTATACAGCTACATTTATTGAAGCAATTTTCCTGCAGGAATTTTTCAGATCTTTTATAAAATTATTCCTGGCCACATGTTATTTTTTACATTGCTGTCAACATTATCTTCTTTTATAGCATTTTATTAATTTTTTTGTTGCTGATATTTACCAATATTTTACAGTTAGTTTCTGTATCTTAAGTATTCAACAAGCTCCCTGAAACTCGAGTTAATTATAAAATTCTTCCTTAGATTCTATACTTATAGCTATTTCATTCATATCATTTTTGTATAATAATTGTTTTGTTTCTTTCTAATTTTTATAAGTTTTGTTTCTTTTCTATACTTGCTAGGACCTTCAGTCCAATGCTGAATAATGGTGATTACACATGCTTTAATCTTGTTCCTGATCTCAAAGGGAAAGTTTTTGTTGTTTTATCCTTAAGCATAAAGCTTACTGTAGGTTATTTATTTATTTATTGCTACAGACTGAACCCAGGGCCTTGTGCATGGTAGGGAAATGCTGTGGCAGTAAGCTATATTCCCAGTGCTGTTTGTTTTGAGATACCCTTTATCATAATTAAGGTAGCTCCCATCTATTTTTATTCTTTGCTTAGAGGTTTTAATTTTTAACATTGGAAATGGCTTTGTCTTTTGTTATTAATTTTTCTGTATTCACTGATATTGATCAGTTTTTCAAAGTTAAATCATCCTTATATTCCTGGAATAAACTCAGTATGTCTGCCACATATTATCTTTTGTATGTACCTAGATTTTGTTTGATAATATTTTAATGCAAGTTTTACATCCATGTTCATGTATACAGATGGCCCACAATTCTCCTTGCTCTATTGCTTTTGTTAGGCATTCCAAGCAAGTTTAGAAATCACAGTAATTTATAGTAAAACAGAAATTAACTTTTCATGACTTTGTGACGAGATGGCTCCCAATCTTAAAATGGAATTAGGCTGGGTTCATTATGCGAAGTTGTTAAGGTTATGTTTATCTTCTTAAAATGACTTATGTGTTTCTTATTCATTTATATTCTGGATAAGTTTGTAAAAGAGTAGAATTACATCTTCTTTGAATTTTCAAAGACCTCATTGGTAAAACCACTGGCGTTATCTGTTGGGGAAGATTTTTGGTCCTTTGTTAAATTTATTTATTGGCCATATGGAATAATGCAGATTTTGTATTTCTCTTTGATTTAGTTTGGGAAACTGTGTTTTTCCCTGGGGAAATATTTTTTTATACTTCATCCAAAGTTTCAATTATTGCCATCAGTAGTCCATAATATCATTTTATTACTTAATAGTTGTAGCATGTATAGATATTCTTGATATTGTTTATTTGTACCTTGTCATTTTTAGGTGGGATAAGTCTTACAAAAAGTTAATCAATTTTATCAGTGTTTGAAAAGAATCAGTTCTTACTGATCTTTTCTATTGTGCGTTCATTACTTCATTAATTTCTGATCTCATCTTTACTATTCTCATTTTTTGTGAGGTTTTAAATGTTCCTTATCTAACTTCTTTAAATAGATGTGTAGTTCATTATTTTTCAATATTAAAGCTAAATTTCCTCTAAGTATGATTTTAGCTGCATCCCATGAAATTTGATATTGCCATGGGTTTCTTTCTTTTCTTTTCTTTCTTTTTTTTTGTCTTTCCTGCCTTTCATTGTCTTAATTGAAGTTTTATTTTAAAGAGACAACTTTGTGAAGGTATAACTGAGCTACAATAAATAGCTCATATTTAAACTGTACAATATAAATATATACCTGAGAAAACATCACCGCACATCATGACCCTCACAAGTTTCTTTGTGCCCCATCATAAATCCTCCCGCCAGTCCCTTCCAATGTGCCTTTCCAAGATAGCTGCTTTTTATACATATTTTAGATTGCGTTATCAGGAGTTTTATATGAAGGGAATCCATTAGTAAATACTCGTTTTCTGCCTTTTGTCATTTGACATAATTATTTTGAGACTCCGTCCATACTGTGTGTAATCACTAATAACATTCCTTTTCATCAGAGATTGGCACACTCTTTTGCAAAGGTTAGATATTAAATGTTACAGTTCTTTGCAAACCATATCATCTTTGTTCCAATAACTCAACTCTACCATTGTGGAGTGAAAGCAGTCACAGAAAATATGTAAATAAATGAGCATAGCTATATTCCAAAAAACTTTATGAACAATGAAATTTTGTTTTCATCTTTCATAAAAATTAAGTTCTTTTGGTTTTTTTGCAACTATTTAAAAATGTAAAAGCCATTCTTTGCATGTAGGCTGTACAAAACGGGTGGCAGTCAGAATGGTTTGCCAACTCTGGCTTTTTATTTTCTCAAAAGTAGTGTTTCATGATACTCTAATTTGTTTATATATACACCTGATGAAAAATGGACGTTCATGTTCTTTCCAGTTTTTAGCTGTTACAAACAAAGCTGCTATGAACATATGTATTGTTAGCATAGACATGTGCTTTCTTTTTTTTCCTGGCTAAATACCTGGGAGAGGAATTACTGGCTCACATGATATTCATATCTTCATCTATTTGTATCTATATCCATATGACTTTTCAAGAAATATTAAGAAATTACCATGTATTCAGTCTTTCTCTCTCTCCTTTTATTGATTTAATGAATTTTATTTTTCTTCCTTTTAATTGAAAATTAAAAATTCTAATTATTTTTTGGTCATTTTTAAATTCAAAAGAGAGTTTGTCTTTCCCTTCTTGAAAAGACTTAGCACCTTTTACTTCTACTTTTTTCTCCCTCCTCTTTTATGTATTCTTGAAAACACTGATTAAATTTAGAATACAGTGTTTTTATGAGAGGTCTGATTCTAGGGTAATTCAATTTACATCATAGGGAACCTAATTTTTGTTGTTGGGTTTCTTTAAAAGCTTTGGGACAATCTCTTTATCCTTGCTTTTCATGTCTGGGTGTTTAAATTTTTCTTGCTTGGCTTTTAGAGAACTCTTTCAATTAATTATTTCATTCACATCTTTCTTTGGTTCAGGGGAATATTTTTCTCTATTACTTCAACTTTTTTTCTCATCACCACTTTCTCTGTTTTCCCCAATTTTTTTGCTCATTCTTAGTGGATGCTGACCTTCTAGATCTGTCCTCCAGGTTTCTTAACTTTTCTCTCATTTTCTACTTTATTTACTTTAAAAAATATTCTTATTTTCTCTCTCCCTAGTTCCCTTTCTCTCTGGCTAGCTTCCTCCACATTTCTCCATCTCTCCAACTCACAACTGAATCTTTATTCTTCACTGATATTTATTGAACAGGAGAACTCATTTTCAAGAACTGTTGTTCTTTCTTTGATTCTTTCTTTTCCTAAGAGTTCATTTTGTTTTATAGATATTTTTGGAGCTAATATTTTTTTCATATTTTAGAGAATACTAATTAGAATACTTTGAGAGTTATATTCTATGTATTATCTGTCTCCCAGGATTTGTTTTTCTTTGTTCATTTAATTCATGCTGTTAGCATTTCATGAATGTCTGATGATCCTTGGTTTTCTATCAATATTTTCTAATAAATGCTTAATTAATAATTAGTGGATATTGGGATAGGTAGTTGGTAAGGGTTTTATCTGTAGCTAAGTAGATCTCTTTCTTCAACAGATCTGTCCACCAAATGGGAGCCTGGTTTTAGGCTCTTAGCTAGTTTGTCCCCTAAGGAGCACAAATTGTTACTAGGCAGAATCAGGACTTCCATTGTTACCAACAGTTAGAATGTATTTATTTTGAATGAAGTAGACTTCATTATATTGCTAAGCAGAACTGCCTTTCTTTTTCATTTACTTCCACTGTTGTAAAACTCAGAATTACTTCATGTTCTCTCTTTACTTCTCTCTCTAGCACCAACATATATGCTACTGTGGCAATCTGTCAGTCATCATCAGAGTAGAGACCATCCCTGTCAACATCTCTGTATACCCAGGGTATTGGGGGAAATGACCCAGATGTTCGATGAATGATCCTTTTATTAACTACCTATTGATGGTAGCTCACAAATCAATCTTGCTCTTTTGATTTATTATTCTTAAGTTTGGGTTTTCTTCAGACTTCTTTGGTAGAAAATAGTTTTTGCTGCCTCAGTAATCTTCCATGAGCATCTGTCTATCACTCTTATCATATCTGTTTTCCATTTTCCTATGAATTTGTGAAAATATTTGTGTCTTTCTTGTTTCTAGAGATATTATGGCTTAAAAAAACTTCTTCATCTCAGGAAAGAGAACAGACAAACTTCTGCTCAGTCTGCCATCTTAAGCTTGAAGGCTAGCTTCCGTTTATGATCACCTGAAGGATGGGCAAATATTTTTTTCTGATAAAAAAATAGTGACAATTAAAAATAAGAAAATCTTTAACTAAATATATTTTTCCATCAGTAGTTTCTCTTGGGGCAGAAAACTGGTAGGTTGAAGATTTTTTTTCACCATGGTTTTGTGTCTTAACTTTCATGAGATTGCAGGTAAATGACTCACCCTCCATATTGCCATGAGTATATTAGCACTACTAGTATTATTATAAAATAACTTCTAAAAAATAGCTTATAAAATATAAATTTATTGTAATAAAAGGAAAAAGTACCAATTTAAGAATTTGAATCTGAATGTTAGGAGACAATTCTCTGTGAGCTTCTCATATTTCTGCATGCGTTGCAAGGGGAGGTATTTTCTGCCCTGTTCTGGATTATCTTTTCAAAGATGTTTGAATAGCAAACAGCCTCAGAGGAAGAGGTAGTATTTAACTATGGAGGAACAGTTAGGCATACTTGTTTATTTTCTGTTAGAAGATATTTAGGTTGCCTATACTTCCTCAGCGATGACACAAACCTACCTACTGTGTTTTGGTAGCCTTCACCTGAGCATCTCCTTCCCATTGTGGGACAGGGGAATGGGGAGAAGCAAGGGGAACCATTGCAAACAGGAAACTCATACATATTACTTGCTGTACCATGAGTAATAATTTATAAGTCCTTTGTTTATGCCATAGGAATCTCATGTCTTCTGACAGCATCCATGAAATCATGGCATGCTAACTTGTTAGCTTTCAAGTAGATAAACTTTGAATTATTAAATTAAAAAATGAAAACACATTTGACCTGCTTGAGTTCGATAATAACATAAATCCAAATGTCATCAGAAAGAACTCATGACTGTCCTTTATTTTTTTTTCTCTTTATATTAGCGCTGAGTTTCATGAGCGACTAAGTAAAATCAACAAGCTGAAGAATAGATATGAAATTCTTACTGTTGTTATGATGCCTCCTGAGGGAGAAGAGGAGAAAACACAGACCTATTATGTAATTAAGGTAATCTTAATTGATTTACAGATGTGAGAGTAAGAAGTATCCTTTCTTTGTTAACTCACTCACAGTAATCTTCTGGATTTAAATGAACCCAAAAGAGCAAATGTTTTCCATGAAACAATAGCAACTATTTTACTTAGTTAGGGTCATTAGCTAATGCATTAATAACATCCAAAACATTAGTTGCTAGATGGAGATAATGAAGCATTATCAGTTCTATATATATCACCAGTCCCTGAGATCCAAGCATGCCCTCTGGATCCCAAAGCCTACTGCTAACTTCCTCTTTTGAGTTCAGGTCATTCTAAGTTGACCATTCTTTAACCATCATTTTTGCTGTCATTTTTATTGTGTCATTTTCCCTCATCTAGTCAAGACTCATAATCTGTTTTACTCTAAGACATATATCATCATTCTGGGTGCCTTAAGCATGCATGTGACAAACTGTTCAATACCTTAAGGCTTTCTTTCACTATGGCCACCTATTATATGCCATACGCTGGACCTTAGCATTTTGTGGGAGCTATACCACCTCTGAATCTTAAACTCCAGTTTACATTTGCAGTCCTGGTAAGCAGTTGTCCAGAGAGGAAGAGGGCTGCTCCCTTTCTCTCTTACTGTACAGGATACAGACAGATCAGGTAAAACTGTTTTTTATCTCTCTCTCTCTCTCTCTCTCTCTCTCTTTTGTTTTTAAACCAGGGTGCTTAATCACTGAGCCACATCCCCATCCAGTTTTATATATATATATATATATAAATCTCACTAAGTTGCTTAGGACCTTGCTAAGGCTGGCTTTGAACTTTCAATCCTCCTGCCTCAGCCTCTCAAGCTGCTGGGATTACAGGCATGCACCACTGCACCCAGTGAAACTGCTTTTTCTTTTGTGATGTTTGAGAGTTGTCTGGTTATCTTAACCTAAGAACTCATAAGAGAGAACTCCAGAACTGATCAGGAATTGAATGTAATTTTGTTCCTGTATACTGCTACATTCATCTTTTCCATGTAGAAAATACCCTGGATAGATGTGAATTTCTTTATAAAAAGGTTTGGGAAATTACTCAATACACTTTAAGAAAGGACTAAAATTGTAACTTTGACTCATGGATAGAGGTACTCCCAATTCACACCTTCAGAGAATGGTCCTGTGGATGCTGTCTTCAACTTCTACATATTTCCTTCAGCAACCAAGTTTTCTTCTATAACCTTTCTTCAAGTTTTCCCCTAACACATACATTGAGTGTGGCTTGCCTAACTTGTAACCTTTGGAAATTAACCTATGGGAAATCAGTGCTAATTCTCAAATCTTTGTTATAACATTAGACTTCTGCCTAATAGTAACAAGATACTCCTCCTCCCATATTTTAAAGGGTCTCATATTGTGAGGGGTAATCTCTAATTAGTTAACTGTGGGTAGAAGGTAAATGTTGCAATTCCAGTTATTCTTCTCTAACAACAAGGGCTGCGGTGAGTTACTTACATATACTGGTGTTAAGAATGCCTCTGTCCATATCCTGCTTTTGTCTCTAAGTAAGTGATCTTGAATAAGTTGTATGACCCTTTAAGGCCTGTTTTCTCACTTGCAAAATGAAGATGATAATATTGTTACTTTTGTTGGAAAAAGTATGTGAGAAAATATATGCAAAGCTCTCAGGATAGTGCTTGGCACAAGATGGCACTCAAATATTAGCTATTATTATTGTTATTGCTGTGATGATGCTGATTCATCTACTCAGGAAAACAGGCAAAATATTTTTAGTGAGGGAAAAATTCTGCTTCTATTCACAGTGACAGTGATGGACAAATATCATATAACATGTTAAGTAATTTGAGGCTATCAGTTACCCTCAATTGACTGATACCATACTTCTTTTCCTTCCATCTTCTCTGGGATCCATAGCTTGTCACATAGTTATTTCTGTTTTTAATTGTATAATATGTTTAAAATTTTTACTAACAATTCTTCACATGTCTCACATATATAAAAAATGAGCCTTTATTTCTTTAGAACTGTTACTGTCTGGGGATGCTGGGTTGTTGTCTCTATTCAGCAAAGACTTGAAGAATAGGACACAGGGAGAGCAAGCAAGAAGTAGATTTTTTGCAAAGACTAAAGAGATATAGGGATAGATTTCTATGAAGAGAAGGGGCCCCAGAGCTAGGAATCCAGGGGGAGTTTTGGCTTGTTCTTTTTATGGTCTCTGGAATTTCCTCCTTTTCTGATGTCCTCCCCTGTCCATGTGCTTCACACTATTATTGGTTGGTGCCCCTTCTGTCCATGTGTTTTACTCTTGGATCCCACTTAGGAGCATGAGTACGGAAGTGTCTCTCTGATTGGGTCTTCCACTTTTGTCCACAAGCACTTTCATCAACCAGGAAGTTGACCACATTAGAAGACCCACTCCATGCTCCTTTGTTCTGACTTTGCCTCCAACCTCCTTACTCATGGTCTTGCCCTGGCTGTCAAGCCCTTCTATCTCCCTCATAACTAAATTCAGTCTAACTTTTATCAGGAAAAATTATCCATGGCATGAAAATGGAGACAAACAGTCACTGGGTGCCATGACACCATTACATGGTGACACCAAGTACTTGGCATTTCTTAGCAGGCCCTTCAGGGATTATCTGATTGAAAAGGAGTGAATACCTTTGACTTCATGTTGACTAATTATTTTATCTATCCTTCCATGGGTATAGATATGAACTTGTAGATAACTGAGAGTAACACAAATGATTCTTTTTGCTAACAATGTAAATGAATTTTGGCTAGTGGAAACACAACTGTGCTTTTTTGTTTTATATTTGTATGAGAATAACTTTTAACCTTTGGAAAATAATGTTTTAACAGTTTCACTAGGAAAAACAAATTTGCCAATTAGAACTTAATTTTTATTTTTCAAAATGATTCCATTTTTCAGAGCCACTGTTTTTTTTTTTTTAATAGATTTAGGGTTAAAATATAGTCAATTCAAGAGCTTTCTCTTTTTCTTATCCTTACAATTCTCCACAAAAGGATCTTTCTTGGTGGAGCATATTCGTATGTTTATAAATTTGGGTAAGAGGAATTTGGTTACAGTGTTAGCAACTGTTCTGTTTTCTGCGTGTTGTAAGCCAGGGGTCAGCAAACCAGGCCCCAGTTAAATGCTGCTTGCTGCCTGTTTTGTAAATTAGTATTATGAGACACAATAATACACTTATTCATTTGTGTGTTGTCTATGGCTGCTCTCCTGCTACAATGGCAGGTAAGTAGTTTCAGCATAGGCGGAATGGCCCAAAACATTAAAATATTTACTATCTGGCCCTTTACTTTAAAATTTTGTTGACCCTCTTGTTAGTTTCTTAGGGCTTCCATAACAAGGCCACAAAGTAAATATTGTGAACAACAATAATTTGTTTCATACTCCTGAGTCTAGAAGTCCAAGAGGAAGGTGTTATCAAGGTTGGTTCATTCTAAGGGCTAGGAGGGAGGATCTGTTCTATGCCTCTCTCCTCTTCTGGTTTACTGGCAATCTTTGGTGTTCCTTTCATCAGGAAAAATTATCCATGGCATGAAAATGGAGACAAACAGTCACTTGTGAAGGTGTACCTTCATCTTCACATGGTGTTCTTCCTATGTCTCCATGCAGTCTTCCCTCTGTTGGTATATGTTCAAGTTTCTCATTTTGTAGGAATATCAGTTATATTGGATTAAGACCAACCCTAATGACCTCATTGTGACTACATCTACAAAGACTCTGTTTACAAATAAGGTCACATGTCTTTTTCCCAGACACAGTTCAACTCAGAGTCCCTGTTTTTGGTCTTATAGTAGTAGCCTCTGGTCTATGGAGCATACATGGTTTTGTTTTTCTTTTATCAATGGTAGCATCTCACAGTATCTGACTTTTAAAAACCAGACTGAAAAATATAATCAATAACCAGTGAAGAACTGGTATCTTTAAAATCTTATCTACAAGTTTCTCTTAGTCTTTATAAGTGTAGTTATGACCATAATCTAGTGAAATTGTCCAACTCTAAGGTACTTGAAAATGCTTTGAAATGTTAGAAAGCTATTAAAAATTCCAAATACCAACTTTTCTAACCCCAAATAAAAATAAACATTATATAATCTTCAATTTAGAAGCAGATGGAGAAACTTTAGAATTTCAAGGTATACATGAAATTAGAGCAGGAATTTGTATAGGATGAACAAATTTAACTCCTTCATTTGAAAAATGAAATCAAGCTCAAAGAAGAAATATGAATTACTGATGTCACTGAACTCACTGGTAGTCAATCCACAGTTAAAATCCATGTTTTGAATCATTCCAGCTCTTCCACTAAACTATTTATATTTCAAGTTAAAATAGATGTCAATTCTAGACACAACTTAAAGGGATTAGATATAACATATATAGCAACTTTTATCTTTCTCTTTTCTGAGCTTTGACACGTAAAAATTGTACATACCTATGGGCTTTTGGGTGATGTTTCCATATATGTGTACATTGTATAACGTTCAAATCAGGGTGAGTGTATCTGTCTCCTCAAGCATTTACCATTTCTTTGTGGCTTTTAAAAATTATAATATTTGTTACAAAAATATGTGTAACTCATGTTTTGAAGCATAATGCAACAAATACCAATGAAACTGTTAAGACTTGAAGCATTACTAATAAGACTTTCTTTCTCATTGACTACATCTGGTTTAAATACATATATCTAGGGATTGAATTAAAATATTGATTTTTAATTTTGACTAAAAGTAGAATTTTCAGTGTATATGTTTTTGTGACCCTTTAATCAGAGACGTTCTTTGAACTGTACAGAGTATAGCCCAGTGGCATAGTTACCCTAATAGGAATACACTGTAATATGTCTACTCAAAGGAAATTTTAGTTTTTAGCAAGTTATAAACTTCATGTTTTCTATGTATTTATCAAAATAATCTCTATTTTTTAAATAGTTATTTTAAAATTATGACAAAACAAACAGAGGAGGTTATTTCCCTGGATATACCTGGTTCATCTTTTATTCCTTCAAAAGATTTGAAATGAGAAACTGTTCCTGAAGCTCTTTGAGGCCAAAAACATTCTTCTGATTTAATACTGAGATTCTATTTTTAAAATTTGTTCTAATTAGTTATATATGACAGCAGAATGCATTTCAATTCATTGTACACAATTGCAGCACAACTTTTAATTTCTCTGGTTGTACATGATGTATATATAGTCACACCAACATGTGCAGTCATACATGTATCTAGGGTAGTGATGTCCATCTCTTTCCACCATCTTTCCTGCCCCCATGCCCCCTCCGCTCCCTTCCCCTCACTCCCCTTTGCCCAATCAAAGTTCCTCCATTCTTCTCATGCCCCACTCCCCCATTATAGATCAGCATCCACTTATCAGAGAACATTGGCCTTTGGATTTTTTGGGATTGTCTTACTTTGCTTAGCATGATGCCTCCAATACCATCCATTTACCTACAAATGCCATAATTTTATTCTCTTTTAATGCTGAGTAATATTCCATTGTGTATATATATCTTAGTTTTTTCATCCATTCATCTATTGAAGGGCATCTAGGTTGGTTCCACAGTTTAGCTATTGTGAATTGAGCTGCTATGAACATTGATATGGCTGCGTCACTATAGTATACTGATTTTAAGTCCTTTGGTTATAGACCGAGGAGTGGAATAGCTGGGTCAAATAGTGGTTACATTTCAAGTTTTCTGAAGTGTCTCCATACTGCTTTTCATAGTGGTTGCACCCATGTGCAGTGCTGCTAGAAATATCTGAGTGTACCTTCCTCCCTACTTCCTCTCCAGCACTTATTGTTGCCTCTATTCTTGATAATTGCCATTCTGAATGGAGTGAGATGAAGTCTTCGAGTAGTTTTGATTTTCATTTCTCTAATTACTAGAGAAGTTGAATATTTTTTCATGTATTTGTTGATTGATTGTATATCTTCTGAGAAGGGTCTGTTCAGTTCCTCAGCCTGTTTATTGATTTCGAGTTCTTTATATATCCTGGAAATTAATGCTATAACTGATGTGCATGTAGTAAAGATGTTTTCCTACTCTGTGGGCTCTCTCTTCACATTATTGATTGTTTCCTTTTCTGATAAGAAGATTTTTAGCTTGAATTCATCCAATTTATTGATTTTATTTCTTAAGCTTTAGGAGTCTTGTTAAGGAAGTTCAGGCCTCATCTGATGTGATGAAGATTTGGGCCTACTATTCCTCTATTAAATGCAAGGACTCTGGTCTAATTCCTGGGTCCTTGATCCACTTTGAGTTCAGTTTTGTGCTTGATGAGAGATAGTGGTTTAATTTCATTTTGCTGCATATGGATTTACAGTTTTCTCAGCACCATTTGTTGAAGAGGCTATCTTTTCACCAATGTATGTTTTTGGCGCCTTTGTCTAGTATGAGATAAATGTATTTATGTTGGTTTGTCTCTGTGTCTTCTATTCTTTACCTTTGGTCTATGTGACTATTTTGGTGCTAATACCATGCTGTTTTTGTTACTATAGCTCTATAGTATAGTTTAAGGTCTGATATTGTGATGCCTCCTGCTTCACTATTCTTACTAAGGATTACTTTAGCTATTCTGGGTCTCTTATTTTTCCAAATGAATTTTATGATTGCTTTTTCTATTTCTGTGAGGAATGTTGTTGAGATTTTAATTGAAATTGCATTAAATCTGTATAAAGCTTTTGGTAATATGGCCATTTTGACAATATTAATTCTTCCTATCCAAGAACATGGGTCTTTTCATCTTCTAGAGTCGTCTTTAATGTCTTTCTTTGGTGTTCTGTAGTTTTCATTGGATAGGTCTTTGACCTCTTTTCTTTGATTCCCAAGTATTTTTTTTTTTAATTTTTTTTGGAGACTATTGTGAATGGGGTAGTTTTCCTAAATTCTCTTTCTGAATGTTCATCTCTGAGGTAAAGAAATGCATTTGATTTATGGGTATTAATTTATATCCTGCTACTTTGCTGAATTTATTTATTAAGAATACTGAGTTTCTGTTCTCTCTCTAGTGAGTCTTATTTCTGTTTTCAGTAGGATTTACATATGCTTAACTTTTTGTCAGACAGTTTTAGGTAAGCTTTGGTTAATTATTATATTTCCATCATGGTTTTGTATCCTGTATGCCATATTTTAAGGCCTGAGGACTTGGTCTTTTACTCTAAATCAAGTGCAATAAATAAATGCCTGGTCCCATGTGTAGGTACTAAGGTAAACTTATGTTGTTGTTCATTAACTATTTTCTGCTGCAAAGACAAGACTTTTTCTCCCTGATAAATACCTTTACTTAACTAGTTCTCTTCTATACTTTATAGGCTGCTCAAGAAAAAGAAGAACTTCAAAGGGAAGGTGACAGTTTGGATGCTAAGATCAATAAAGCTGAAAAAGAAATCTATGCTCTGGAAAACACCTTGCAAGTACTCAAGAGCTGCAATAACAATTACAAACAATCTTTTAAAAAAGTGACGCCATCTAGTATGTAGGAGTTATTAAAATATGTACAATTAAGTATATATAATTATTTTATTTATAATTTGTCATATATGACAGCAGAATGTATTACAATTCATATTACACATATAGAGCACATTTTTTTTCATATCTCTGGTTGCATACAAAGCAGAGTCACACAATTTATGTCTTTGTACATGTGCATAGGGTAATGATATCCATCTCATTGACCATCTTTCCTACCCCAATGCCCCCTCCCTTCCCTTCCCTCCTCTTTGCCCTATCTACAGTTTGTCTAATCTTCTCATGCTCCCCCTCCCAACCCCACTATGAATCAGCCTCCTTATATTAGAGAAAATATTCTGCATTTGGTTTTCTGGGATTGGCTAACTTCACTTAGCATTATATTCTTCAACTCCATCCATTTACCTGCAAATGTCATGATTTTATTCTCTTTTAACGCTAAGTAATATTCCATTGTGTATATATACGACATTTTCTTTTCCCATTCATCTACTGCAGGGCATCTAGGTTGGTTCTACAGTTTAGCTATTGTGAATTGTGCCACAATAAACATTGATGTGGCTGTGTCTCTATAGTATATTGTTTTTAAGTTATTTATTTTATTTTAACCAGAAGAATGTTATGAGACATGGCGAACAAAAATATACTATGTTTGATTAAGTAGGAAAAATCAATCACCCTCCCCCCCCCTTTTTTGAAATTGGTCTGTTAAGATGTTGTTTTCTTTATTGGTTCTGTTGGTATATGACATGTTACTTCTATGGAGAATTAATCTCAAATCTGAAAAAATTGTATATTGCTGCTGTGTGTTGACCAAACAAGAAATGGCTACTACATGCTCACATTGTCTTTATTCAAGTAGATACAAGGAATTTAACCTTTTATAAGAAGACATCTTAGAAATTTCTTATCTGTAATATTTTGAGACTTCTTCCTCATAGTAAGTTGAAAATTTTAGCTAAAAATTTTCCAAATTTTAGGTGATGAATATGAGCTAAAAATTCAACTAGAAGAACAGAAAAGAGCTGCTGATGAAAAATACAGATATAAGCAAAGACAAATAAGAGAACTTCAAGAAGATATCCAGGTAAATTCTATAGTACCTTTAGTGTCTGAAGTATCTTAATAAAAGTCAACTATCATTATTACTACTTCTATTTTCTTGATCTTGCACAAATAATAGAGTTTTTGTACATCTTTAGGGAAGTAGACAGTAAGATATAAAAGTGAAATATTCAGTAAATCAGTTAAAATTCCAATGTGAAGCATTGACATTTGTTATTTGTTGATGGGTCATAGCTAGCCAATTATGATCTATCCACTGACTAATTCCTTAGTGTTCACATTAAGATTGCTCCTTGACATTTAAAAGATAAAAATAAAATAGCATTAAGTAGTTACTAAAGTAAATCACTTTGCCTAGCATTCATGAGGCCCTGGGTTTAATACGTGAAAAGAAACAAAAAATAAGTACATGTATGAAGACTCGAATTGGGTGTCAACATACTTTATATATAACAGAGATATGAAAAATTGTGGTATATATGTATAATAAGAATTGTAATGCAAAAAAATAAACAAAAACAAAGTACATGTATAAAGGCATGAATTGGCATGAACAAATTCTATATACAAAGATATGAAAAATTGTACTCTATATGTGTAATAAGAGCTGTAATGCATTCTGCTGTCATGTATTTAAAAAATAGAATCAATAAAACTAAAAAAATTTGATATGGTAAAAAATGAATGTAAATGTCATTTTAGTTCTTCTGGATAATTTACTAATCCACATACTTATCCCAATAAACTCAACTAAATACAGAAAAAAAAAGAAAGCTGGAACAAATAATATAAATTGTGAACCTTTAAAATTGCCTGATTACAATAGTTATTTATATTATTGATTTTTCCAAGTACCATGAAAATACTTTCCAGTGGAATTACGTAGAAAATTTAACCCAAAAGACCATTATACTTAGGCATCGATAGATTAGATATGTATCATATACAAAAATTAATGAATTAAAATTAATACTTGACAAATGAGAAGCAATGTCAGTTTTTGTTCTAGCCAATAAGTGTGTTACTTATTTTTGCAGAGCATGAAAAACACTTTAGAAGTTATAGAACATTTAGCAAATAATGTTCAGGAAAAATTATCAGAGAAGCAAGCTTATTCATTTCAACTACGTAGAGACATTGAGGATCAGAAGCCAAAATTTGAAAGAGTAACTAAACAGGTATTTATATTTTTTTCAAAATTTACTTATAATAGTTTTTTTTAAGTCTTAAATGGTAAGCCCCAATTCTACTTTATCCTTAAAATTTGTTGTAAAAATCTGTTTATCTAATAATTAATTATTATTTACCAACAGTGTGGAAAACTCACCAAAGAAATTCGTCTTTTGAAAGAAACAAAAGATGAAACTTTAGAAGAACAAGACATTAAACTTCGGGAAGTGAGGGAGTTTCACAAGGTCATTGACGAAATGTTAGTTGATGTCATAGAAGAAAATGCTGAGATCAAACTTATTCTTAAAAAATACTTTGAACAGGTAATAATACAGTACTCTCTAATAAGTAATTTTTTTCTTTGTTCTTTCTGTGGTACTAAGTATTGAACCTCTTTGAACATGCTAAGTATGCTATGCTCCATGAAAATAAAAAATTTTAATATCCATCATACAGCAAAATCTAATTAGAATATTTTTTTTCTAAAATAATCATTAGTAGGACTATTGATTACTGTTAAATATTTTTCCAGAATGGGTTAGAACTACCCACAGCTGGTCCAAAAAGCAGTCGCCAGAGTTCTAGATCTCCTTCACAGACTTCCCTGGTGTCAGTAAGGTAAGTAAAAGGCTAATAAAACATCCTAACTCTCATAGCTGCTACCCTGAGTGCATCTAGCCCCTTCCATGTCACCACAGCTGGTGGATGAGCCAGTGCACTCCAATGCTCTCCTCACCCTCAGCTACCTCATTATGCCAACATTACACAGGCTACATGTAGAAAAAGGCGGTAAAGCAAGAATTCCCTTCTGACTTCTACTGTCACCATTCCTATTACAACACATGGGCTGTGACTGACAATTATTTTAGTAGGATGAAATTTGGGAGTTACAGCTAGCACTGGGATGGACCCCAAGTTGGGGAAATATTTAAGCCATAAAAGGACACATCAAATTTGTGAATAAAACTGCATTAGTGAAATTGTACAAATTAGAATTTATTTGATACTTTGTTCTGATAAAAAGGAAACTATTTTTCCCTTCTGCCATTTATTGTTATTTAGAATTCTATCACTGGGGATGCTTAATCAATTCTCTTGGGCTTTGTTGGCAAAAAAAGAATTATTGTTGATCCCCATTTTAGAATTTCCAATCTCCTATAGTCAGTAGCTACTCATTACTTTCTATTGTCCATGTAGAGATTTCAAGAAAAAGGGAGCTCCTAAAATATGTTTTAAGTATGAAAACTTGGCTTCTAGGGGCTGGGGTTGTGGCTCAGTGGTAGAGCGCTCACCTAGCACGTGTGAGGCACTGGGTTCGATCCTCAACACCACATAAAAATAAAATAAAGATATTGTGTCCACCTAAAACTAAAGAATAAATTTAAAAAATTGGCTTCTATATAAATATATTAAATAGTTACTTGTGTTTCCCTGTACTTTCATAAAATATATTTTAAAAAGCTATCATTTCAGTTGCATAGCTATTTTTCAAATGATCCCAATTTTCTATCAACATGCCTCTCCTTTTCCTCTTGAATTATTATGTAAGCTATAATTTTGATTGCTTTTCTCAGAAGCAAAATCTTGCCCCTGTTTTGTTACCATCTTGAAAGCCTTTAATACTTCTAACTCTAAGAAATTGATTATATTTGTGTGCTAAGTCAGGTTTTCATTGCTGTGACAGAATACCCAAGTAAAACAACTTAAAGAAGGAAAGATTTATGTTTGCTTCTGGTTTCAGAGGTGTAGTTGGTAGTTGGCTGTGGCAAGGCACAGTATCATGGTGATGAAGGTGTGGTGGAACAGAGCTGCTCACCTCACAAAGGCTAGGAAGCAGAGAAAACAAGGGGCTGGGGACTAGATATATTATCCAAGGGTACATATCTACTAAGAACCCAATCTCATTAATTAGTTTCTACTTCCTATACTTTCTGTCACCTCTCAGTAGTCCATTCGGTATGAATCCTTCAATGGATTAATTCACTGATGAGGTCAGAAACCTCATGATCCAATTACTTCCCCAAAGCCTCACCTCTCAAAAATCATTGCATCGGGCACAAAGCCTTTACACATAAGCTTTTGGGGGATATAAATTATAGCAAGTTGAAAACATTTTTCTCACATAGAAACATATTTATCTATTAATTGAATCTATGTTCATCATTTTCTAAATTGTTTTTTGATATCTGTTAATAGTCATACTTTTAAAAAATTTATCAGTGTTTTGGACTAAACTTACAGTATTTTTTTTCAGGTCAGCTATGAAATTTACATTAAATTTATAATTTTTTTTTTAGGTCAGCTTCAAGTTCCACAAGTATTTCTCCTTCTCAGACTTCAATTAAAGTATTAGCGCTCAACTTCCCGGACTCAGCACCAGGATTCAGCACTTCTAGTTCATCTAGTGGCTCTAGTAATGGTAAAAACAAAAGGAGCAGCAAATAAAATTTTACTCTTTTGTACGTATTTTAAATACAAAAACTAAAGTTTCATAATAATAGCAAATCCCATTCTATTTTTTTGGTTATATAACAGGACTACTGATATAGTATTAGAAATAAAAAATGATCAGACAAAAGTTTTAATCTAGTGGAAAATGTAAAAACTGATAGTTAGTTTGTAAAACAAAAAAGGTAATTTTCTTAGTTTTCCTATTATTTTATTCCTAGAGAAGGAAAATAATAACAGTAGATTCTTAAGGATAAGTTGTCTAAGCATAGAAAAGATTGTAATTTTCACTGTAATTTTGATGTCTGTAGTGTTAAAAGATAGTTTGCTTCATTGTTTCATGGAACCACACATTCTAATGTAACGGAATCTTTCAGGAATAAACATCTAAAGAGTCAGTGCAATCATAATAAGAAAATTCTCATTTACCTTAGACGACTTCAATATTAAGTTTTCTTTATTCAAAGAGACATATTTCCCAGACTTTTAGGGGAAAATAAGTCTGTTAAAGGCTGTTCCTTCCTTTGGTATAATTTGTTACCAAAAGATAACATCGTAACTCCTCTACCCCAAAGAAAACAGCTAGTAAGAGAAATTCAGTTTATCAGTAAAAAATGTATCTTAAATTCCTAAGAATTACTTCACTTTGACCTTGAAAGAAATACAACACATCAAAGATTTTGCTCTCAAGATACAGCCAACCCAGCATAAAGAATAAGAATATATTTTTAAAATTTCTTGAAATAATTAACAATTTGGAGAAAGGTTGATGTGATATGATTTGCTCTTAGAATTCTATAAATTTAAATTGGAGGTAAACTACTATATTTAGAATTGGAATCACTAGATTTAGAATTAGTTTTTTTTTTTTAGTTAATACTTTGTATCCAGAATTCTGAATTCTTGGAATAGAGTGGAATATCATAAAACTGGATTTCAAATAAAGGTATCATAATTTGTGTATGGAAACAAATGTCTCCTAAAAACCTTGGGAAAAAATATTCATTGCAGCTGTCTGGAACTGCCATGCAGTTCCTTCTGAAAAGCAGTAGTGGTGGTAAAGTAAATCTATTTCTCCTGATTATTATTTGGAAAAATGATCTTGTTTGGAAGTAACCAGGAAAAGTCATAATAGTAGAGTCCAATGATTAATATAGGTAAAAATACTAGGCAATTTTTGGTTAGAACATTGCTCCAATGCATGAGTTATATTTGTAAGCTCTAAAAACTGATTAAATATAGTCGCTTTATTCACCAAAGTTCTTAATTCTCAATCATATATTACTTTGTAAATTATTTGGAATTTGGAAATATTTTTAATTATTTACTTTTTCTTTTTTTCCATTTTTAAAAATTTGTTCTACTTAGTTATACATGACAGCAGAATGCATTTCAATTCATTGTACACAAATAAAGCACAACATTTCAATTCTCTGGTTGTACACTATGTAAAGTCACACCATTTGTGCAATCATGTCTATACCTAGGGTAATGATGTCCATCTCATTTCACCATCTTTCCTGCCCCATGCCCCCTCCCCTCCCATCCTTTGCCCAATCCAGTGGAACTTGAAATATTAAATACTGTGTTCTATAAAGGCAGATTGTCATCTAACTAACTCTGATTTTGGACAGTTACTTCTCTATGCTTTTGCACTTTATTTGTAATACAGATAGTTATGTACTTCACAATTTATTGAAAAGGTTGTATAATATAAACAAAATGCACAGGGCTTAACATAGTAATTACACTATAACTAGCAACTTCTACCTATTTGAGTCACTAACTAGAGCCTAGCACAGAATTTGTGGAATGGTTAGGTTCTTAGGCCAGCATACAAGTTTACATTGAACCTTTCAATAATAGTTCCAACTTGATTGTAATAATGCTAAAAATGGTGAGGCAAGATTACCTCCTTTTCAAATCTGGAGTTTTCTTTACCTCCATAAGTCAAGCTTTTCTACTTATGGAAATCAACACAGTGAGTCAGCCTGGGTATGTACAGTAAGACATATTGATGCAAAGAAAAATGGTGAAGATTTCACTAGGGAATCTTCATAATTTAAATCCTCAATTTAAATACACACACACACAGACACACACACACACACGATAAATATAGAAAATTGTTGTGAAGGACTTCCTAAATATATCCTTAGAAACTGGTTTGTGTGTTCTTTCAATTTAGTATGTCTGAGGAAAGCTGTAATTTCTAAATTCAGGCAGACAGCAAGAGAAGGCATTATCCTAATTCTTACATAAAATGGTATGTGTAAAATTTTAAGGTGTATTTGGGATTCCCAAGGCTCAAGGGCTATGCCAAAAGGTAGTTTTTACTCTTCTAAGAATCCCATTATGTAGGACTGTAAAATGTTGATATTAGAGCTATGAATACATAGAAATAACTGGAGTTTATTGTTGCAGACTAATGCTTGAGTAGCCTATTTCTTTTCTTTTTGGTTATTTTTAGTTATATGTGACAATAGAATTCATTTTAATATAATTGTACAAACATGGGATATATCTTATTCTAATTAGGATCCCATTTTTGTGTTTGTACAATGGTGGAATTCAGTATGATGTATGTATATATATAATATGTGCATAGGAAAATTATTTCAGATTCATTCCCCTGTCTTTCCTCTATGTCTTTTCCTCTCACCCCCTCACTTCCCTTCATTTCCCTGTCTAATCCACTGAATTTCTATTCTTCTCCATCCTATTGTGGATTATCTTCCATATCAGCAAAAACATTTGATCTTTGGCTTTTTGAGATCAACTTATTTCACTTTAATGATAGTCTCTAGATCCATCCATTTACTGGAAAATATCATAAAGTCTTTTTTCTTAATGGCTGAGTAATATACCATTGTGTATACATACCACGTTTTCTTTATTCATTCATCTGTTGAAGGGCACCTAGGTTTGCTCCATAGCTTAGCTATTGTGAATTGTGTTGCTTATAAACATTGATGTGGCTGAGTAATTATAGGATGTTGAGGATTTATACGAGGAGTGGGATAGCTCGGTCAAATGATGGTTCTATTCCATGTTTTATGAGGAATCTCCAGACTGCTTTACATACTGGTTGCACCAATTTGCAGTCCCACCAGCAATGTATGAGTGAACCTTTTCCCCTACATCCTAGCCAACATTTATTGTTACTTGTATTCTTGATAATTGCCATTCTGACTGGAGTGAGATGAAATTTCAGTGTAGTTTTAATTTGCATTTCTCTAATTGCTAGAGATTTTGAACATTTTTTTATATATTTTTTGATCATTCATATTTCTTTTTTTTTGAGAAGTGTCTATTCAGTTCCTTTGTCCTTTTCATGACTGGGTTGTTTTTCTTTAGTTCTAAGTTTTTCGAGTTCTTTATATATCCTGGAAATTGGCACTGAGGTGCAGGTATCAAAGATTTTCTCCTGTTCTATGGGCTCCCTCTTTGTGCTCTTGATTATTTCCTATGTTGTGAAGAAGATTTTGGTTTGATACCATCCCATTTATTGATTATTGATATTACTTCTTGCACTTTAGGAGTTTTGTTAAGGAAGGCAGTTCTTGAGCTGAAATTTTGGAGTGTAGGGCCTATATTTTCTTCAAGTAGACTCAGGGTTTCTGGTCTAATGTCTAGGTCCTTGATCCACTTTGAGTTGAGTTTGGTGCAGGTGAGAGATAGGGTTAAATTTCATTCTACTACCTGTGGATTTTCCATTTTCTCAGCACCATTTGGTAAAGAGGCTATCTTTTCTCCAATGTATGCTCGTGGCACCTTTGTCTAGTATGAGATAATGGTATTTATGTGAGTTTTTCTTTGTCTTCTATTCCATCTCATTGGTCTTCATGTCTGTTTTGGTACCAATACTATGCTGTTTTTGTTAGTATAGCTCTGTAATAGTTAAGATCTGAGATTGTGGTGCCTCCTCCTTTGCTTTTCTAGCTAAGGATTACTTTGGCTGTTCTGGGTCTTTTATTTTTCCAGATGAATTTCATGATTACTTTTCCTATTTCTATGAAGACTGTTGTTGGGATTTTAATTGGAATTGCATTGAATCTGTATAGTACTTTTGATAGTATGGCCATTTTGACAATATTAATTCTGTCTATCCAAGAACATGGGAGATCTTTCCATCTTCTAAGGTCTTCTTCAATTTCTTTCTTTTATGTTCTATAGTTTTCATTGTAGAGGTCGTTCATCTTTTTTTGTTAGATTGCCAAGGTTTTTTTTTTTTTTTTTTTTTTTGAGGTGATTGTGAATGGGATGGTTTTCCTAAATTCTCTTTCAGCTGCTCTGTCATTGGAGTATAGGAATGCAGTTGATTTCTGGGTGTTAAATTTTGTATCTTGCTATTTTGCTGAATTCATTTATGATTTCAAAGAAGTTTTCTGGGGGAGTTTTTTGAGTCTTCTAAATATAAATTCAGGTAATCTGCAAATAGGTATAAAGTAGTTTGAACTCTCTTTCCTCTTTAATTTCTATGTTTTGCCTAACATCTCTGGCTAGAGTTTCAAGGACTATGTTGAAAAGAAATGGTGAAAGTGGGAATCTCTGTCTTGTTCCTGTTTATTGAGAGAAGGCTTTCAGTTATTCTGTTTAGAATGATCTTGACCTCAGGTTTTTCATATATAGCCTTGACAATGTTTTCATTTTTTAAAATATTTTAAACATGAATGGATGCTGTATTTTGTCAAATGCGTTTTCTGCATCTGTTGAGATAATCATGTGATTCTTGTCTTTAAGTCCAATTATTTGATGAATTACATTTATTGATTTCTGTATTTTGAGCTAACCTTGCATTCCTGGGATCAAACCTACTTGATCCATGGGTATACTATCTTTTTAATATGTTTTTGTATGTGACTTGCCAATATTAAGAATTTTGCGTCTATATTCATCAAGGATATTGGTATGAAGTTTTCTTTCTGTGATGAATCTTTGTCTGGTTATGGTATCACAGTGATAGTAGCTTCATAAAATGTGTTGAGAAGAGTTCC